TCTTTTCATATTGTGGGGTCAATAATTGTTGCTTAAAGCTGGTATGTCAAGAATAAATGTATAATCATAGTATCTAGAGCTAAAGAGTTAGGAGTCTGTTGCTTTCCACTATAAATTCTTTTTGATTTGTATTTAACAAAAATTAAAAACTGAGTTTGAAGATAGGTTACATATAGAGGTGACGGTTGAAATTGTGATGCCATCTTTTAATTTTTTAAGACTTAATAGGGACAAACTAAGAAGGCTGTGTTTTAAGTTAAGCAATAATAGTGTCCTTGTTCTGATGGAGCAGTATTTCACATTTCCTGAGACAGAGTTGCATGGCTGGGGGCAGCGTCTTTAATCCTTGAGGAAATGAATTATTGCCAAAAACAATGAAGCAAAGCTGTTATTGTCCTCAGCGCTTGAAGAGTGCCCCAGCATTTAAGGCTTTTGGTTGAAGCAGTTACGTAAAAGTATATTAACTGGGTGAGAACTTGACAGTAAGAAACAGGAGTTGGCCTGGTTGAAGAAGTTTGAATGAAATAACCTTGAATGACTGGGCATCCTGAATCTTTGTGCCAAGAATTCTGATCTAGGCTCAAAGACCTGAATTTATATAATATGCTCAGTTATTGTCTCACTTGTGTAGTTTGTGGTTAGCCTTTTACATTGTGTTTTACTGTCTCAACTTTTATTATTATTCCTCATCAGCTTTGTCTTACATTCTAAATGTGGGTTTCCGATCTGTGGGAATCCCCAGGCAGTGTTTATGCAGTGCAGTTTACAACAGTGGAGGTGAGTGTCCACTGGTCGTGTGGAAACAATCTGGGCAGTAATTTTTCCTGTGCCTTTTGGTGTCTAACACAATCTTAGTGCAGCCCCAGTTCTTACCCTTTGGTGCAGTTTACCTTTTGGCCTGATATGGAAATAGGCTTCTGAGACCCTGTGCTGTTAATTTCCCCCACTTCCCTTTGGAGGCCATAATTTATATCCCTTAGTCTCAGTCACTCTGCATGCGAGTTGTTGCTATAGTTCTGAATTCCTTCATACATGCTGGCTGGGTCATTAATAACTGAACAGCCCTGGCAGCTGCTGCCATGGGTACCCCGCTGGTGCCCAGAGAGTGCCTGCTGCTCACCCTGAAGCCAGCATCAACGAGCACTGGGGACAAAGGAAAGAAAGCTGGGATTTGGGCAGAAACTCAGTTTTGGTGTGGCCTGAGGGATCCCCGAGATGCAGACAGTCCCTCCTGGAGCTACACCCTCTGCTAGCTCAGGAGCTGGCTGTGTTCCCAGTGGCTTAGACCAACGCCCAGGCCCTGAAGGACTTAGAATGGGAAGCACATGGGCTGCACCAGGGCCGGTGTGACTGACTGGTCTCTGCCAGAAACAGCCTCAGCCAGTGGGCTGTGCCCTCCTGTGATTAAGGCTGGTTCTAAGCAGAATTAAGAGCTTGCTTATTTCCTGAACCAGAGAAGGCAGCTTTATCTTGAGAATTAAGACATCTGCCAGTTGCAGAGTTTGGTTGGGGTGACTCTCTTCTCCCATCAAGGTGCTTCCCTACCTTTTCCATGACTCCGATTTTTATTTGACTTAATTCCACCCCCTCCCCATCATTGTTTTCCTGTGTGTGTGGTCCCAGGGATACCCCTTCACCCCATCACTGTCTGCTTTTCCTTCTGCCTGGGGCCTGAGGCCACAGAGCAGCCCCGCCTTCCTCCATCCCTGGATGGGACAGATTCCACGGTGGGCTCACTGCGCCAGCTGTCCAGGACCTGCAGGACCCCTGCCTCCTGCTGCTGGCCCCCTAATGCGTGGTTTGCTCTCATCTGCAGTAGCCTCAAGTAAAGTGGGCACATTTCTTGAACTACAAGTGTGTGGCAGTTTTAGCACACGTGAGATATTGCTGTCCCAGCCCTTATAAGCAGCCAGCAAAGTGGATTTAAGTGCCTGTTTGTCATGCATGTTAAAGGCTTGCCTTGGCCTCTGAGGGGAAGGGGCCGGGTGGAAGATGGAGATGCCAAGGAAGGAGAAACCCTAGGACGCAGCCAGGAGACAAGGGGCTGGAGGAAGCACTGCTCTGTACACGGAGCAATTTTTGCAGCTTTTTAGCCACGTGACATGTGGAAGCACCTGTCCCTGCAGGGCACAACAGGCAGCGGAAGCGTGGGGCTCCGCGGGCTCCTATCTCTGACCTGTTCCCACACCAGGCTGTCCACCCCCAACCCGGCTCGGTGCATCACACTGATTCTCATTCCAGCTTTTCCTCTGGCTCCTTCCCTCAGCCTTTGCACAGGCTGAGCTCCTCACCTGGCCCCTCCAGCTCCACCTGCATTTCTGGGTGATGCTTTTCCTTGAAGGCTGGCTTTGGCACCCCTTCTGGCCCACCCTCACCTTTTCTCTACCTGTCCCTTAGGATCTGGCTCCCCAGGGGACAGGTTGGTGGAGGAAGGAGTGAGTCTTCAGTCATATTAGGAGGCTCTTGAATGTTGGTAGAATGAATAAAAGAGGGAATGAGAGAGTACAGTAAACAGGAAGCAGCAAGTTCTGTACCTGCCCTAGGTAGCTTGCCAGCCTCCTTGGGTGTGGACAAGGAGGAGACGAGGTGGTCAGAGAAGACACACAGTAATAACCTTGGAACTCAGGGCTGTTCCCTCCAGCCTTCCGGTTGGAGTCCTTTCCCTTTGCAGGAAATCTCTTCCCCAATCTTCACCCCACCCAGCTGCAATCATGCTCTTGACTCTGCCTCCCTCTACCTTTCGGAATTTAGCCTTTCATACGGAGAGTGCTTGTTTCAGTGTTTTCTTCTCTGTAGGTTTTGCCCTTTTAGCTAGGTTGTAAATGCCTTAAATTCCTGAAATGTTTTATTTCTTAGGAAGCATTTTAAAAGCATGGAGAAAACATGGTTCCAAAGCAATCTTTGTCCTGGCTACCAACTAGCTGTGAGACTGTAGGGCCGAGAAATTACCCTCCTTCCGGAGGCCTCTGTTTTCCTGCCTGCGGAGTTAGAGGCCAGGCACTCTCTCTGGTCCTTCCAGTGCTCACTCCCTGTGACTCTGATTGTGACCCCTGCAACTTGCTGATAGCCCCCGAACCCGGGACAGGGTTCCAATCTCGTATCCGCCAGGCAACTGAACTTGTTCACTCACAGTGGAGGCCAGTTCACCTCTCAGCTGTTTGTCGGAGCTCATGGATCAGAGACATTAGAGGAACAGGTGCGGGGCATCTTGGTGGAGGCCCCTGTGGTCCCTGGTCTTGCCCTTGCCAGTCCAGGCACCAAGGACCCCGCCTCGGTCCTGCTCAGTCTCAGTTCCAGTTCTGTACCTTGGTGTGATTTATTTTGTTCAAATGTGGGGGTTGACTCTGCCACCAGCTTGGGGTCTGGGAGGAAGAATGGTGTTAGGGACGCGGGTCCCCACGTGAGCCATACCTCACTGGGTCTGTAAGACATTGCTTCATGGTCCTCCTGGGTGGCATCTGGTTCCCTCTGTTTTCTGAGTGCACTTTCTGCTTGTTGGACCCACCATTGCATCACACTGGTTTAAAAAAAACATACACACATTAAAACCTTAGCTGGGCTCACAGCAGAGACAGCTGTGGTGGGGGCTGTTTGGTTTGTGAGGTTTGTTTTTTTCTTCTGCACCTGAGATTTGTAGATTTCTCAAAGGCAGGAGTGGCTGATTTCCTGTTTGGGGGAGTTTGTTGTTTGTTCATATTGGTTTTCTCCTGCCCTTTTCCCAAGCTCCAGCCTCATTGCTCTCTGTCCAGTCGGGTGTGTTTTTTCTGGTTCTTTTCCTATTTGTTCCACCAGTCAGCCAGACCCCAATGATTGTAAAACTGACGGTGAGTAAAGAACATTAGCTTGGCAGAAAGGTCGAAGGTCTGCAGAGATCCCTCCTGGCTGTGAAACAATGGGATGTTAAGGACCATGTGTTTGGGTTGGGGGCCCCTCACACAGGGGATAACAGGGTGTGGGAGGAGAGAAGGAATATTATGATGCCTAGTGCATAAGTGGCACTCCCCAGCGCCTCCCCGAATCCTTTGAACAAGACTGATTTGCTGATGGTGGAGGGGTTTGTTGGAGATAGGAGTGCCACGAAGAAAGAATTGATGTAGGAAAAGGCCAAGGCTGTGAAAGAGAAAAATTCATCAAGCTTTATCTTGGGCAAAGGTTACGTTCTAAATCAGTATGGTTAAAAGAAAAACTGAGGCATGTTAAAACTTTTCACAGGTTTATTTGTGCAAACATTGATTTAAATCACCTAACTGGAAGTGGCTAAGAGTGCTCTACCAACAGGAGCCAGTGGAAAGGCTTACACAGACAAAGCAAGGAAGCAAAGAAAGGAAATTATTTGATCAGCTATAGTTTAAAGCCTTGTTGAGTTTGTGATTGGTTGCCCTTAGGGTTTGATTTTGTAACCTTAAGACATGTACAAGCTTAGATATTTTTTGCTCACGTGGCCACCATGGCATGAAGGCCACATCAGTCTAATGGCCTCCTTGTTTAACTAACTTAACACAGTAGAGAAGCTGAAATTACTTTTGAATAACACCTCAGGAAGAGATATTATTAGAAATTGACATATTATCACTTGGTAAGTGTAATGTGACTTTCCAATGTGGGACTGTTGGTTTTGACTGTTGAGTTCCACATGATGTCCTTGGTCATATTTTAGGAAAAGTGTCCTTTAAAACACCTGAGTGATATTTGGGAGAGAGCTGTTGGTATTATGAGAGATGGGTGTATTTTCTGCCTGGTTTCAGCAAACCCTCTCCCGGTGTGTGGCGTGTGCTGTAGTTGTGTGTGCACGCGTGTGCGCGTGCGTTTGTGTATGCATGCGTGCTGCAGGCACAGGACTCTGCCTTTGCCCCCCCCCACTCCCCCCCCGGCTGCCTAAGCTGGCAGAGAATTACCCTAGTGGCCTCCTTGACAAAGCATAATCTTGGCATCTCTTGGTCTGACTAACTGAAATGTTAAATGCGTATTAAGCTCACCTCTCCAAATTGTTTTGTCCACAGGCTGCTCGTGGGCGCCCCTCGGGCGGTGGCCCTCCCTCTGCAGAGGGCCAACAGAACTGGAGGCCTGTACAGCTGCGACATCACCTCTCCCGGCCCCTGCACACGGATTGAGTTCGATAACAACGGTGTGTTCTTCTGCATTCACTCAGAGTTCGCGTGGCCAGCTCGTCTGTGCCACTTGCCCTTTCCGTGAGGAAAGGGGGTACAAACATCCATTCTTGGAGAGAGGGCCTCTTTTAATTGCATCAGCCTTAACTGTTCTTTTTGTCTGCCCTGAAAACATTTACTGCTTTCTAAATCACATGTGGATGCATGTATTGCTGCCCTTCCTAAGGCTGGTTCCTAAACTGATATGGTGTATTGATGCTGCCACCTACTGACGTGTTGAAGTTCTACAGGAGGCTGTCGAAAAACCGAGTTTAGAGCAGGGAAGAGAGTTTGAATGTGCCTATCTTGTACCCAGCAGCCAAAAGTTCTCTCTCGCTTGCTGTGAAAACATTTGGGAGAAATCTGATGTTAAATTTCAGATCTCTCTGAAATGGGGGCTGACCAGCATGGATAACTTTTGCCCTACTGTCTCAGATAGAGGCATGCTGGGAAGGACTCTGTGTGTTGGGCGGAATAATTGAGGTGCTGGGAAGCTCCCACTAAACCTAACTTGACGTGCTTGGACTGAGTATATTTGTAAATGCATGTTTTACTTTTGTGTTCTTTTTCATCTTTTAGAAATGACTTTTTTGTTACTGTTGTTTTTTACCAATTAGAAAATAATACATGTTAATTATGGGAACCTTGTAAATGGCATTCACCTGTAAAGAAAACCCCACGGGTAATCTAGACATAATTGCTCCTTATTTAACATCTCAACATTTCACTTCTGTCTCTCGGAATTGATCAGTTTTCCTAGTTTTGTAATGGTTCAGGATGGAAAACTGTGCCCGCTGTGGTTCTCGTTGAGGAGGGCACGCATCTTGTGGGTTTAGATTGATACTGAAATGAGCACATGGAGGTGTTAGTGGTTTCTTTCTCTTTGGCGGGGAGAAAGGGTAAAAGAAATGTATTCCCTTCCTTTTTTGGCATCTATGGAAAGATCCCAAAAGAACCTGCGGCCTTGCGTTCGCATCTCCTGTAAAGAAAAGAGTAGTTTGGATGGTAGGTGGAGTTTGGAAGCTGGATGTTGACATTGTTGCTTTAAGGGACATATGTTGGAGGGGCCCCTTAGTCTTAAATTTTAAAAAACCTCTCTGTACTCAGGACTCTGGGTGTCAGAGAAGGTGAAGGGCCACCTGGTAGAACGATGTATTTTGTGTAAGGAATTTCATGAACTATTTTTATCAACAATCACCTATCCGTTTTCTTAAGATGAGAAGTAATCTTCCTGGATTGAGTAACTAAATTTACTAAGTAATTATGCTTGGAGTCAAGGCTATTTAGAAACCATTTCTTAGATTTTGTTCATCTGTTGGTTGATTGCCTGTGTCAGTGGCTCTGAAGTCCTAACTATGTGTATGTAACCTGTGCCGCTCTCCACAGCCGACCCTTCGTCGGAAAGCAAGGAAGATCAGTGGATGGGGGTCACCGTCCAGAGCCAGGGACCAGGGGGCAAAGTCGTGGTAAGTGTAGAGAAGCGTGTTCACCCCACAGCGCCTGAGCGCCGGGCTGATGGCAGTGAACACAACTGTGCTTTCCTTTGGAACATTCAGATTCAAAGACCTTATTGAAAAACCTCTATTGAATATCTCAAACTCTAGACGGTCTTAAAACAAAAAGAGAAAACAAAGCTAGTCATGATCCCAGGGACTGTGGAGCTTTTATAGATGAGATATAGAAAACTAAGGGAATGGTCATGGAAAATGAGATCAGATCATTTTAAACTCTTAATTATTTATTCCGAGCTTCTTCAAAGAGAAGTGGGAGTGAAAATGAGAGGGTCTCGTGCTGGACGGCCTGGGAAGTGCCCCCAGGCCGGATCATGATGGTCTTTCTGTGTCTCCTTCAAAATCTGGTTACTATTACAAATGTGTATAGAATTTTGAGAAAAATGAGAATTGTAACAAACCTTGACCCTTGCTTTTTAAGGGCTATAGTATGGGAAACTGACATGGATATGGCACAGTATTTTCAGCCCATGTTAGGCGGAGCACAGCCTTGGATGCCCTGTAACACCATGGGGACCGTTGCATCTCTCCTAGCAGAGCTCGGGGTATGCATTAGGGTTTAGGGCTACGAGGGAATAGTGGGTGTAAAAGGGAAATGTGTGCTCCAGCCATGTTTGCCCGATCCCCATGAACACGCACCCGTGACTTCTCTCCTGGAATGTGCTGTTTTCACAGACATGCCGATGTGCAGATGTATGTAGCTAGTGAGAAAGAAAAATAAGGTGTTCCCGTTGTTTATGTGACAGGTAAATTTATAAGTAAATCACCTACGGAGTATTTGGATTGGAGCATGATTTTCTGGATGAAAATAAGACAGAAGTCCTGTAGTTTCTGAAGGCTGGATAATAGTCTTCTTAATGGCACTTTGGGGAAGATTTGCTGGTTTTGGATCCAATCCCAGGATGAGGGCACGTTTAACATCCTCTTTATTATTGACAGTTGTATCAATTCGTAATGAAAAACATCAGGTTTGTGGGCATTAGTGGGCTACTTTATTCCATCTGTTTGCAGACATGTGCTCATCGATATGAAAAAAGACAGCATGTGAACACAAAGCAAGAATCCCGGGACATCTTTGGAAGGTGTTACGTCCTGAGTCAGAACCTCAGGATTGAGGACGAGATGGATGGCGGAGACTGGAGTTTTTGCGATGGCCGCCTGAGGGGCCACGAAAAGTTTGGCTCTTGCCAGCAAGGGGTGGCAGCTACTTTCACTAAAGACTTTCATTACATTGTTTTTGGAGCCCCGGGCACTTACAACTGGAAAGGTAGGATGTGTGTATTTATTAAAATAGACATTAGGGTGACTACATAATTTCTGTTACATGCACAGTGATGTGGTACATTTTAAATTAAAATGTGTTATCAGGTACTTGTTTATTATAGAAGTAGGGTAAGATATTAACATCTCCAAATTACATGACTTCTAAAAAATACAATGATGTACACTTTGGGATTATTTCCCCCTCTACCAGCAATTTACATTAATAAGAGTAGTTAACTTTTTTCCTATAAGAGTATAATAATTAACATTATTAGTCTCGCCATTTTATATTTGCCTGTTTTGTGAAGGTGCCAGTTTTCATTTTGAGGTAGCCATCTCAAGACTTAACAGGATTGAGGACTGTCTGTCAGGTACCAATAACAGTGTGTTAACATAGACGTTTCTTTCATTACATCCCGTCTTAAAGGCTGCGCGTTGGTAAGAGGAGAAGTGACAGGTCAGGGAATGTTGCGATGGCCGATGGCCGTGTCGAGCGACTTGCAGACACATTGTCTAAGGGTGTCGTTTAGCTACCCTTGAGATGCAGCGAGAGGAGAGGCGTTGGGAAGGCGGAAGAGTGGGCCATGGTGTTGACGGGGTGAGCCCGGTCGGCTCCTGTCATGAGCTGACCTTCTCTGAAGAGGTCAGCCAGGTGCAGAAAGCCACCGGGTTGCAAAGAACACTTTACCTGTCTTGAATGTATAACGAAGAGCAAGACATCTGATTTAGAAATGAGACTTTTTTTGAGAAACTTATTAAAATAAATCCTATTTTATGACATTTTCACTAGTCAGGAAAAACTTAGGGAAAATTTTCCTTTTCCATTCAAAAACTTCCAAGTTTTTAAATTCCTGCTAGATACAGCCCTTGAGGAGAGCCCCCTCCGTGCGTGCGCCATCCTAGCGACTTCTGGGCGTGGTGGCCTGAGTCTCCCCACTGCCAACCGCGTCTTCCTCTTAATGCTGTTTGTGAAACGCTTGAATTCAGAAACAGCCTTCTTTTAGCAAGAATAGATTCCATGAGTAGTACACAAAACAATAAAAACAGCCATCAATTACATATGTTTTAATTTATGGGAAACATATCTGCTTCATAAACCCTGATTTAAAAGGTAAGCATTTTTAAAAAGTCACGTAGTGGGCTTAGTATATAAAATCTTACTAATGAAAAATTTTAAAAGATGAATCTTGGTTAAAATGAACTGTTCAAAATATTAATTTCATTGTTATACTACAGTAAAGAAGGCAAATTGATTTGGGGTTATGGAAAATATAAAGTAGCACCAGATTCATATAATTTTAGCGTTTTCTGTAGATTTAGTCAACCAAGTGAACATTCCATTTTCATCCACATGCATGGCATTGTGAAGATAATTCATGAAGATGCATGGTGTTTTTTTAATACTAGAACAACTTTCTTTGATACAAAAAATTGCATGAACATGATTTTTTTAACTCTAATCACCTCAAAAGTCATCTCTTTTTTTCTGCCTTTTTTTCCTCCAAACCCTTCTTGCTGTACTTAGTGGTAACACCAGGAATGTTTTACTAGGAACCATCTGTTTATTTTGTTTCATCTTCATTTTGTTGTTGTTTTTTACCATTTCATTCCTTTAGGGATCGTTCGTGTAGAGCAAAAGAATAACACTTTTTTTGACATGAACATCTTTGAAGATGGGCCTTATGAAGTTGGTGGAGAGACTGACCATGATGAGAGTCTGGTTCCTGTTCCTGCTAACAGTTACTTAGGTAGGAACCAGAGCAGGCGGCACGCCTGCCTCTTCAGACGCCTCTGGGGCACACTGCTCTCACAAGACCTTGGACTTGGAGGCTGAGTGTAGGTCAGGGGGAGCCAGGGGCCTGTGGCTGCCTTTACTGGAATTAGATTTAGGCCTTGGTGATTCAGAGGCAATCTTGACTGATGCTTGGGACCCTCCCCTTCTGACCTGGGCTCCCTCGAGTGGGGAGGAAACCTGCTGTGTCTCCCAGATCCGTCTGTCCTCTGCGTGGAAGTCAGTTTCCGGAGCGAACCTCGGCCCGTGCAACCTGAAACAGGCTGTTCATGAAGCCGTGGGAAAAATGCATGGGTGTTAGTTAGTAAGCTGAGCTGCCTGCCCTCTCCCTCAGTGCCTCTTTCTAGAGGTGCTCCGGAGAGCCACATTTATGAAGTTACTCTTAAGTGGCAAGTCGGGACCCCCATGGCCTTCCTGTGTGATTGCCTTTCTGCAAGGGCTGGCCCTGCTTCGGGACTGGGGCCCCGTGTCACAGGGCCCCTGGTGGGGTGGCACAGGGCTTTCCCGCGGGGGCTGCGCAGGCCTGCGAAGCAGCGTTGAGGACACCCAGATTAGGTCTAAGTGCCCATTTCTTAACTCCTTAGGCTCGTTTGCATTACTAATGGGTGTCCTAAATTATTCATGTGCCATTATGGTAATTGCACAAAGGCTTTTAAAGGCTTTAATTCTTGGTATGAAGTGACATAAAGAATAATTACTGTGCCTTTCTTGGAAAAAATGTAAAAAATCTCCTAAACTCAAATAGTAACCTATTTTTTTTAAAGAAAAGTACCCATATGCCAAAGATATGACTGGAACAATGAATGAAAAGGAAAAAATAGAGATATAAGAATAATTCTGAATAATGTGTTAAACATATTCTTAAAAATTGACCTAAATGTCAACTGTAATTGAAAAATAAAATTGAAAAAATAAATTGTTCTAATTTTATAGGTATGTATGAACAATACTGTTAATTTAAAAAATGTTTCAGACACTCCTCCCTCCCCTGAGACTGAAAACCTGTGTGTGAGGGCATAGAAGAGGGAAGGGAGAAGTTGTACTTCAGGTGTCCAGCACCTGCACTTAATGCTTCACAGGTCCCATTTGATCTCCCCAACAGTACTGTGAAATAAGTATTATTGTCCCTCTTGCCGGGTGTGCGGATGGCTTTGCAGGACATGAAGGGGATACGGGGCCAAGCAGTTTTCAGTCTCAATGATTAAATACGGTTTTTCAAGGTAAATATTATCAAGAAACCAGTATTTTATTTGAATATACATTAACAGCCTCTCTTCAAATGCATTGTTCAGGGGTAAGTTTATGGTGAGAAACATTCAGTTTTGAATGACTCTAGGCAAGAAACCAACACTTCACTGGCGTGGCTCAGTTGACCGGGCATCATTCCTCACAGGAGAAGGTCACCAGTTCAGTTCTTGGTCAGGGCAGCTCCCTGGGGTATGAGTTCTGTCCCCGGTGAGGGTGAGAGGTAACCAGTCGATGTTTCTCTCTCACACCCATGCTTCTCTCCCTCTCTTTCTCCCTTCCCCTCTTTCTAAAAATAAATGAATTTTTTTTAAAGAAAAAAACAACATTTTGGTCTTTATGATAGAGGCCCATGGATTTTATAAACTTAGTTGCTCTTGGATCATTTGGATGCAAACCACATTCGCTGCTTTAAGAATGGGTTTCCTCAAAAGTGGATGCCTAGAAAGAAGGTCGTTTGTATTTGTTACATTTTGGTGGCACATGCCATCCATGCACCTGTCATTTCACAAAATCGGTGGGTCTGAGGAAGAAAACACTCTGCTTGAGGTTTTGAAAGCTGGCAAGGAGAGTGGCTGGCCAGGTGCGGCCTCACCGTGCGGCGAGAGCGGCGGGCGCCATGGTGCTTCTTACCCGGCGTAACTGCTCTCTCTTCCGTCCCTCCTGCCCCTCGCGTGTGTGCAGGCCTGCTGTTCCTGACCAGCGTCTCCTACACAGACCCCGATCAGTTTGTTTATAAAACACGGCCTCCCAGGGAGCAGCCCGACGCGTCCCCTGATGTGATGATGAATAGCTACCTAGGTTTGTGACCTCTGAGATGACAAATAAATTGTCTTGGTCATGGTCATTTACAAAATTTTTTTGATCCATACAGAGCATAAATCTTTTCATTTTCTGTTTCATTTCAAGTGAAGCACACATAAAAAGCATGCTGGGGCGGAGGCTCTGCTGCCAGGTGGTTTTCAGAGCTGGATTCGATTATATCGCCCTGTTCTAAACTCGTGGCTCATCCTGTTTTTCAACTCACTTCACATTTTGAGAACTGCAACAGTAATGGTGAAACTTGACATAAATAAAACCCAGAGAAAAGGGCGGGCTTATGCTGAAATACTATTCTGCATCTGCCTCACCTTTCTGTAGAAATACTTGTTTAATTTGAATGGCCTTGATAGGGGCATTTACATTTGCTCCCGATTAAATCTTACATTTGCAATCTGACATCCTACCTGAGGCTTTATGATGAGGTGTCTGATGGTTTTTGCCCCCTCCTAACAAAGGTGTAATTGATACGGATGACATCTTGCTCACCTCTATTGTTTACGTACGTTCTCAAATACCGTACCTCATCGATCATGGCTTTGTTTGCATGTTTGCATCTGAGAACCAAGTTGGTTCAAAATAACAAACTGCTCTCTGCGGAGTACCATGGGGTTAGCCTCTGTGCTGGCCTGATTGCCAAGGAGACGGATGAGTGTGGATGTTACAAATCATTTGTTACAGCAGAACTGTGTGGTGTGCACTCAGTTCTGCTTTGTCAAGTTGTGTGTCTGTATGTATGATGTAAGTTTACTGTGATAATTCAGTATCTAGTTTGCTCTCCTGTTACAGCAGTTCTAGTATTAAAATAAAGTTCGAACTGATTCTTATGATGAATGAATGCATCATGATTCAAGTTACACAGATGCTACGTAGCACGGGTTCTTTTCTTTAAGTCGTAATATAGTTCCATAGAAGGCAGTGAAGTAGCCTGCCACTTTCGCTTGTCACATCTCTCCTCACTCTGGGACTCTGCTGTGCCGTACACGTGAGAGCTGGTGGGGAGGGCCGGGAGGAGTGTGGTGGGAAGCAGAAGGAAAAGATAGTGATGATACCAGTGTTCAATACCTCCTAAAAACCAGAGTTGATGTGACCTGCATTTTGTTTTTCTAGGCTTCTCTTTGGACTCAGGGAAAGGGATTATTTCTAAAGATGACATCACTTTTGTATCTGGTGCTCCGAGAGCCAATCACAGTGGAGCTGTGGTTTTGCTAAGAAGAGAAATGAAGTCTGCACATCTTTACCCCGAGCACATATTTGAGGGGGAAGGTCTGGCTTCTTCGTTTGGCTACGATGTGGCAGTGGTGGACCTGAACAAAGATGGGTGAGAGCCTCAGTAATTTTACATTTATAAAGGAGTCATTGTTTCTCCGGCTTTTATAGGTCTTGAGAAGAGCCAGCCATCCTTTCAGATTAGTTGATTCAAAGTATTTTTGCTGCCAAATTTTTACCATCCTATCATGTCTTCGTCAGTTATATTTTGGCAGCAGACGATTGCTATCCTCCCTGGGGTGTAGAGTTACAGCTGTTTCTGTTTGTAGTTTTCACTTGTGTCTTGGGAGTGGTGGGTCTGTAACGATTAAAATTTGGGGGAAAAGTTAACTAAAAAAAAATGACACCTACATGGTTCTGTTCTGTGGCTTCTTAAGTGACCATTGGAACACCCAGAATGTCCTGTTGAAAGCAGGGGTTGGTGGACTTCCGGCAAGATGGAGGCATAGGTGGTCGCACCATACCTCCACGCACAACCAAGATTAGAACAACAATTGAGAGGCAGAATAACACCCAGAACTAACAGAGAATTTATCTGAATGGAAGTCGGACAGTCAAGAAGTTGAAGTAGACCTGTTCATCCAGACCGGTAGGAGGGGCGGAGAGGAGCAGCCAGTCGCGGGTCGCGGTGTGGACAGCAGAGAGCAGTGGGTGCATAAAGCAACCGGGAGCATGTAAGGCATCTGGGGCGCACAAGATCGCAGCAGGTGGACCCTGAGTTCGCAAGCTGCAGCTGGCAGACCCAGTGAGGTGGCGATTGTGGAGCAGGGCAGAGCGTGCAACCCAGGATCCCAGAAAAGGGACTGAGGTCCCAGGAGAACGGAGCTACCGCCATTGTTCGCCCCCACCCCCGCCCCCACATACAATGTCACAATCTAGCAACTGGGATTCCCAGCCCCGGTGAACACCTAAGGCTCTGCCCCTCACTGTAACAGGAGTGACCAGACCAAAAAAAAAAAAAAAGAGAGAGAGAGAGACATGTCTCAAATAGAACAGATCAATGCCCCAGGACTCATCCTTTTGAGTGACTAAGAGATAGCCAATCTATCAGATGCACAGTTCAAAACACTGGTGATCAGGAAGCTCACAGAATTGTCGATTTTGGGTGCAAATTAGATGAAAAAATGCAGGTTACCATAAAAGAGATGAAGGAAGATGCATGCAGAACCAATAGAGATGGGAAGGAAACTGGGACTCAAGTCAATGGAGTGGACCAGAAGGAAGAAAAAAAACAACCAAACGGGAAAGAGTGGAGAAATAAGAATTCAAAAAAATGATGAGAAGCTTAGGAACCTCCAGGACATCTTTAAACGTTCCAACATCCGAATTATAGGGGTACCAGAAGGGGAAGAGGAAAAGCAATAGATTGAACATGTATTTGAACAAATAATAAAGGAGAGCTTCCCCAATCTGGCAAAGGAAATAGACTTCCAGGAAATCCAGGAAGCTCAGAGAGCTCCAAAGAAGTTGGACCCAAGAAGAAACACACCAAGGCACATCATAATTACATTAGCCAAAGTAAATGAAGGAGAGAATCCTAGAAGCAGCAAGAGATAAGGGGACAGTTACCTACAAAGGAGTTCCCATCAGACTGTCAGCTGATTTCTCAGATGAGATCTTACAGGCAAGAAGGGGCTGGAAAGAAGTATTCCAAGTCATGAAAGACAAAGACCTATATCTCAGATTATCCAGAAAAGCTTTCATTTAGAATGGAAGGGCAGATAAAGTGCTTCTCAGATAAGGTCAAGTTAAAGGAGTTCATCATCACCAAGCCCTTATTTTATGAAATGTTATTTTATGAAAAGGGACTTATCTAAGAAAAGAAGATACAGAAAAAACATGTATAGTAAAAGGACAGCAAACTCACAATTATTAACAACCACACCTAAAGCAAAACCAAAAGAAACTAAGCAAACAACTAGAACAGGAACAGAACCACAGAAATGGAGATCACATGGAGGGTTAGCAATAGGGGAGTGGGAGGAGGAGAGAGGGGGAAAAGGTACAGAGAATAAGTAGCATAGATGGTATGTTGAAAATAGACGGGGAGGGTAAGAATAGTATGGGAAATGTAGAAGCTAAAGAACTTATAAGTATGACACATGGACATGACTAAAGGGGGGGATATGGGTAGGAGAGGGTGTACAGGGTGGAGGGGAGTGAAGGGGGGAAAATGGGACAACTGTAATAGCATAATCAATAAAATATATTTTAAAAAAGGAAAGCAGGGGTTGGTGACACACTCGGCATGTAGGTCTGTGGTCGGTGGTGCGGGTCTGGGTCTGCAGGGGAAGGCGGGGCGCCATGGAACCTTTCCTGGGCGTCTCTCTGCTCTGTGGGTCTAACTTGGGAACTGGCTTCACGTTCTCACCCTCCATAATTTTTCTTTGGTTTTATGAAGTATTTTAATTGGTGAGATATAAATTCCAGATTGAGGCCTGCCCTGTCTGTCCCATCTCTTTGTGTCCTTAGTACCTGGGCTGCTGCTCTTCTCCTCCCAACCTCGCTATTTTAGCTGATGGCTCACAGTTCTTCCCCTCCTTATGCTTCTAGGTGGCAAGACATAGTTATTGGAGCCCCGCAGTATTTTGATAGAGACGGAGAAGTCGGAGGCGCGGTGTATGTCTACATCAACCAGCAGGGCAGATGGAAGAACGTCAGGCCGGTTCGTCTTAATGGAACCAAAGATTCTATGTTCGGCATTGCCGTCAAAAATATTGGTGATGTTAATCAAGATGGCTACCCAGGTAGAATAATAGATTGTGAAATGGTTATGATTTATAGATAGATTATTTGATTGATGAGAACTTATGCCATCTTTGAAACATTTATTCAAATACTTTCAAAAGGTAATGTTTGTTACAATGATGTTTTCGACAGATATTGCAGTTGGAGCTCCCTATGATGGTAACGGAAAGGTTTTTATCTATCATGGATCTGTGAATGGAATAAACACCAAACCCACACAGGTACCCAGATATCCTGGATTTTTACCATCATGGGGGGGGGGCAGTTATCTCAGCTTTTTGCCTTATAATAAACTATTTAGGTTTAAGTAAATTTTCCACTTGTGTTTTATTTTACAACTAAGTGTACCCAGATGCAAATGTGATCTATTTCTTTTAGTAGAATGCTAAATAGAGATGAAACTGGGCAAACCAAAGAGATGACTGTGATTTTATGGAGGGTGGGGCAGTTGGAGAGGTTTGGTTTGAAATACCCTGATTGACTTAGTATAATGCAGTAAACAAACTCATCAAAAATTGGCTCTTTTATTCTTTGAGATACAGTGTAAATCAGGTGACTTTTATGGACTATATGAAGTATTGCATCGTATGTATACTCATTTACAATTTCTTGGTGATTGACTATAATTCATAAGTGGACTCTTAAGCTTCAGTTCCAGAGAAACTTGTGTGCCTTTCTCAAAGCACGGGTCCAAGGCTCTTCCCGGTGCCCATTGTCCATGCTGATGGCTGTTCCTTTCAGGTTCTCGAGGGCAACTCACGTTTCTTTGGATATTCCATTGCTGGAAATATGGACCTCGATAGAAATTCCTACCCTGATGTTGCTGTTGGCTCCCTCTCCGATTCAGTAGCGATTTTCAGGTGTGTTAAGCATGGTCAATAATTTGGTTACACTAAAATTATGACCTTTTGAATTGAAATTTGCAATGCCTATACTTTGAAAGACAAAAACTTGTGTGACTTTGAAGATTTTTCTTTTATAAGTCATACAGCAACGTAGTAAAAACCTATTTGGTAAAATCTTGCTAATTTTGAACTGAGGAAAAATGGACACGTGTCTGGGATTGGGAAAAAAGCGAGCTTGCGCGGGGGGAGCAGTGGTGTGTGTTCATGGTGATGCATATTAGTCCTGACGCCTTGGCCTTCTGAGCCGGCAGAGTGGGCACGGTGTGGCGGAGTGTGCCCTCTTCGGTTAAAGCAGTAGCTCTGTGTTTTACCTGGTGGTTCTCTAACCATTTATACCCATTTCTCTCTTCCCATAGATACTAGCCTTAAGATATTCATCATTTTTAAAAGGAAAAGTATATAATGTTGAACTATTTCAGCAAAGTTTCCATCAAAAAGCAATTTGCACTTCTAGTTGTAGTTTGAGATTTAGTCCTCAGATATCAGGAAGACTTGACTTCCTGTACCAAGATTGGGCAATTGAGACTTTAGTCACTTAAATATTTCCATGGGTCGTAATTGATATTTTAACGTCCTTACTTTCCTTCCTCATAAATTGGTTGACTGTGAACCCTGTAAACTTGTTCTGTTTTTCCTCATAGATGGTATGGAAGTAAATTTCACAATCTTTTGATAACAAAGGGCAAACCAACTCTTTCATCTCACAAACAAGGCAATGGAGGCCCAGGACTTGCTTGAGCTTTTAAGCTGGATCCTGCAAGAACAGGGCGTAACACCTCAATCTCCCCAACCTCGGGTCCTGGGCATTTCCCCATGAAACCATACTAGAACTGCACGGTCGTTAGCAAGCAGATGCCAGTTAGCACAGGACAGCTGAGCCCGTAGATCTGCTTTATGTGTTAAAGACAAAATTTTCATGACTCATGTCTAACATGCACTCGGAATGATGTGTGGATGTTGTGTGTTAAAATATTTCCTTTTGAAACTTATGCCACATTAAAGCCTTAATACTGTGATATTTAAAACACTTTAGCATGTGCAGCAACTGGTTTTAAAAAACCTGTGAATTTTAAATATGCCTTTTAAATACGATCTCAACACTTCGAGTGTGTCTAGTTGATGCCATAGAAACTAGCAGTGCCTTGATGTAAAAATAACAGTAGAAAGGCAACCACTTAAGATGAAGGGAAATGAAGACAGACTGTGGGTAGCCTCTGCCTTCTGGTGGCTCTCACGGCCCCTGTGAGTGGTCTCGAGCCCTCTCGTGCCTACCGATAGATTGGTGCCAGAAGTTCAGTCTAGTTCCTTGGAATGGGAATGCATTTTCCTATCTAAATACTTCACCAGGATGGCTGGGTTTATCACAAACCCACTGAGGTCAGTCTAACTGAATCCGTGTGCTGATGAAACCAGCGAACCTGTTCTGAGTTCTGGCTAGAATGTGATGGAGGCGGGAGGTCTTTCACCTTCCGTGTGGGGGTCTGTGCCTGCGGCAGAGGGCAGGTCACAGGCCAGCAGCGACCTCTTTGGCTGTGGGAGGTAGGGCGGAATAGGGAAGGGGGAGAGAAGGTGCTTTTATCTGGTGAGGGGGACTAAAGGTGTGGAATTCCTGCTTCCTGAGGGTTTGGGAGGTTGGGGTGAGGCAGGGCAGAGATGGGGAACACCAAGGGACTCAGGTTTTTGCTGGCAGAGGTTCTGTAGGGGGGGAAGGTTGTGGTCAGTCCTGGCAGCAAGAGGACGAGGACATGAGGTTGGAGATGGGTGATTCTGGGGAGGAGAAGGAAGGGCAAATGTTTGTAGACCCGAGAGTGCAGGACCACCTGTGTCACTGAAATTCAGGTGCATGTAGCAGCCCTTGATGGCGAGCATCCCAGGTGTTAGGTGTGTGTGGGTATAACCTTCTTGAAGTGCGCTTTGGCAAGATTACTCATAATTAAAATGTACATATTCTTTGATTCAAATTCTGCTGCTAGGAATTTACCTACAGATAAATTCAAACATATGCTTAGATGCTGGTACCAGGGGGGTTGGTTGTCAGAGTTGAGGGCCTGGAAACAGCATGAGCGCCTACCGATTAGGGACCGTTTAAGTGCAGGAGGCTCTGTTGGCAGAGTGCAGCCCCCCAGCTGTGAAAACCCAGGAACTAGATTTCTATGAATAGATGTAGAAGACCTGAAATATTAATTAGTTAAAGGGAAAAGCAGCAACACGCATGAAATTTGTCATTAAAGAATTACATGTATATGTTTATATTTAACTGTAGACAGTATTTGTAACCAACGCATAGACTGTACTATGTGTCTGAAAGGATGTACAAAGCGACTTAGGAGTTTGGGTGGGGACGGAGACGCTGTCTGCCTGAGAACTTCAAAAACTCTGGAACTTGAAACAAATTTTATTTATTTTTAGAGAGAGGAGAGGGGAGGGAAAAAGAGCAGGAGAGAAACTTTGCTGCGAGGAAGGAACATAGATTGGTTGTCTCTTACACGTGATGGCACACGCCCCGACCTGGGACCCCCGGACCGAACCCACAACCCGGGACAACGCCCACACCCTGAGCCGCCACATCAGTTGGGACAAAAATCGGGAACATTTACATACTTTTCACATACTAAATGTTCAATTAAAAAATTCTACTATTGAAACTATAGAACATTTTGTAATTTAAAATGTTTAAATAAATAGTGCCTAACCAGGTTTTATGTTACGTTGAACAGTTCCTTCCTTTAGTCACGGGAAGCAAACGGCGGGCGGGACAGGTTTTCCCTGCGGGGTTTAAGGTGCTCGGGCCGAGGAGGATGCCTGTGGAGGACACGTCTGTGTTTGAGGAGTTCATCCTACGTTCGGGGCGGCTCGAGGCTGAGCTGCTTTCCTACCCCTCTGCCTCCAGGTCCCGGCCTGTGGTTAACATCCAGAAAACCGTCACAGTAACACCCAGCAGGATCGATCTCCGCCAGAAAACCGTCTGCGGGGCGCCCAGCGGGATCTGGTGAGCCTTCCCGCTGTGCCCTCTGGCCTGGCTCCCCTGGTTTCACACACCTGCTGCGTGGTGCTGACCGTGTGGCCCTGGTGGACCTCTGGGGAGATCGGGACGTGGGCAGAGGGAAGCGGAGTCTGTCAAGTGAATTTGCTCATCAGTGCGCGGTGGGAGGGTTTGAGAGCTAGGGGATGTGATGTAAGGTTTCTTTCCCCTGCAATAATGCGTCTTTTAACAAATATCTGTTTAATTTTATACAGCCTCAAGGTTAAGGCCTGCTTTGAATACACTGCCAAACCCACTGGTTACAATCCTTCGATATGTAAGTATCTAGTCCATTTAAAAATATATTGTCTGTCTACTGGGTTGAACATTCTGCATAAAGAACAGAAAAATAAAACTGAAATGACCAAAATGGTCCATAAATTCCTGTTTAAAGAATCACCCCCTGGCTGGTGTAGCTCAGTGGATTGAGTGCGGGCTGCAAACCAAAGCATCGCAGGTTCGATTCCCAGTCGGGGCACATGCCTGGGTTGCGGGCCATGGCCCCCAGCAACCGCACATTGATGTTTCTCTCTCTCTCCCCCTCCCTCCCTTCCCTCTCTAAAAATAAATAAATAAAACCTAAAAAAAAAAACAAAACAAAACTAACCTTTATAAAAAAAAAGAATCAAGTATGCCTGTTGTCTTTCCTTTAATTGAGGGTGAAGCCTATGAGGGAAAAACTCTCCATTTGGTTCTCATTTGCATTTTCCAGCGCAGATGGTTTAGTACAGAACGTCTTGGAAACGCTCTCATTTGCCACCACAACTGTTTCCTCCATTCCTGTCCTGGAACGGCAGTGTGGAAAATTGGTTTTGTGGTTGTGCGGTGGTAGATGGTGGCTGTGCAACAGCGACGGCAGGGGCCAAGGACTGCAGGGTCATTGCCAATTAGTGCCCTTTGCTCCTGGCTCCCTCCTGGAGGGGCCTGCAGGGCCCAGAACACCCGGGCGGTGTCCCCGAGGCTGGCCCCGGCAATTCAGAGACATGGGCTCTGCTCCTGGTTCCAGCTTTGATGCCGACAGAGCCGACAACACAGAGCAAGTCCCTTAACATTTGTCTGGGAAGCTCCTTAGTTCTTCTTCGATTTTAAATGATAGCCCTGCTGCGTAAAGTAGCCTGGGTTGTAGCTCCTCGCTTTTCATCACCTTGAGTATTTCTCACCACTCCCTTCTGGCCAAAATGTTTCTGTTGAGAAATCAGATGACAGTCTAGTTGGTGCTCCCTTGTAGGGGATTACCTGCTTTTCTCTTGCGGCTATTAGGATTCTCTCCTTGTCTTTAAGCCTTGTCATTTTAATTATGATGTGTCTTGGTGTAGGCCTCTTTGGGTCCATCTTGTTTGGGACTCTCTGAGCTTCCTGGACTTGTGTGACTTTTTACTTCATCAGATTAGGGAAGTTCGGTCAAATACTTTCTCGATCCCTTGCTCGCTCTCCTCTCCTTCTGGTATTCCCGTGATGTGGATGCTGTTACGCTTCATGTTCTCCAGAATGTTTCTTAAGATCTCCTCAGATTTTTAATTTTTTTTTTTTCCTGCTCTGCCTGGGTGTTTTTTCTACCTTGTCTTCCAAATCACTGATTTGATCCTCTGTTTCATCTGACCTATTGTTTATTCCTTCCAGGGTATTATTTCAGTTATTGCATTCTTTATTTCTGACTGGTCCTTCCTTTTTATGGTTTCTATGTCTTTTTTCATGCTTTTGAGTATCTTTATAATCATTACTCTAAACTCTCTGTCAGAAAAATTGCTTGCCTCCATTTCTTCTAGTTCTTCTTCCAGAGAATTCTCTTGTTTTTTCATTTGGTGTCTGTTTCATTATCTTCCCATTTTGGCTGCTGTGTTGTATCTGTTTCTATGTATCAGGTGGATCTGCAAAGACTCTGGTGTGGGCCTTCGTCAGACACTGCTTGTGACTGGCCCTGGTCAACCTGTTTGGAGCTATCAGTGGTCCACAGTGTGTGCAGAACCAACCAGGCTGGGCATCAAGGCCAGCTTTTACCAGCATTGGGCCAGGGGAGGTTCGACTGAAGTCTCCGAGTTTCTAGGGATCCACGTTAGTTGTTAAACTAATCACCAATACAGCCTCAGACTTGACTCAGCAGCCTGGCTTAAGCTCAACAGGGTGGGGCAGAGTTATTCCCACAGGCGGGGCTGTTGCTTCCTCTCAGGCTGATGCCACTTGGAGAGGAGTGCTGTGCCTGAGAAAGGTGGCCTCTGCATCTCCGGCCATCTCTCACTGGTGGACAGAAACCTGCTGCTTTTCACAGCTGGATGTTATCTGGGCTTCTTTCCAGCTCTGGTACCGTAGGCTGGGGAACCCAGCTTGGGATTTAGACCCCACACTTCTCAGGGGGAACCCCCCCAGCCACTGAGTATCCCTTTGGGACTTCAGCTGCCATGCATGGGAGCCCAGCCAGCCCTCTTGCGCCCTCTCCACTCTTCCTACTTGTTGTGGTGAACTGGTTTCTTCTGTCTGTCCGTGGTTAATAAGGCTTCGCTTCAGCTAGTGTTCAGTTGGTTATTCAAGGGTGATTTCTCTGCAGTGTAGTTGTAATTCCAGATTGGTCCTGGGAGGTTAGTATAGCTTCCATTTACTCCTCCACCATCTTGGGCCAACGTCCCCTAACATTTGAAATTTTATTTTCCTCTTAGTTAAAAAAAATGCCTCTAGTAGGAATTGCTATGTAGTGTTGTGCGGAGATCAAATGAGATAATGTGGTGAGAGCCACATTAAGGTCTTAAGGTCTTTCTTAAGGTCTCATTCTGCTCCTTTCTTGATTATGTGAACAGGATTTTTGCCCAGAATTGTGACAGGGCTAACCGTACTCCGACACGAGTGATTATCAATCAGCAACCCTTCCCTGGAATGTTCTAGTAGCAGCCATATCTCTTCAGGTGTAAGCCACCTGCTCCTGCTCCAGCTCCAGAGTGAAGATGGGAGTTTGGAGATACAGAGAAAATCTTTCCCCCAAAAAGGAAGTACAGAGTGAGGGCGATTGCCACACTGGGTCTGGCCAAGGTCCTGGCTGCTGCTGTGTGGTGTAGCATGTCACCCACCAAGGGATGCTTGTAGGAGGACAGGGAGTTCTGTTCTTTCCGTGTTTTCCTGGTTTCAGTCCTCCTTGAGACAGCAAGTTCTCCTGAGCCTTCTCCTTGTTACCTAAAGTGTTACTCTGTTTTCTTTATTAAAAAGATGCCCCTTGCACTACCCCAGTATTTGGCAATAAGTCTGCTTCCCCCCAGTCCACACTGTCATAAGCCCGCTTAGCTGTCATCTTTCTGGATTTAAGCTGTCAGGTGGTTTCTGCCCCTCCCGGCTCTGCCGGGCGGTGTCATGTCCAGGGGACCTGTGCCCGGGCCGGAAGCATGCTGGTGCGGCTGGGCTGTGACTCTGCACGGGTGAGCGTGGCCTTTTACTTGGGTTTGCAATACAGCTGGCATTTCATTGAGTGGAAAAAACATTCTTTGTGTGGCTTCTAATGACAAGAAAGCATCTCAGCGACTTCTCGCTGTCATCCTTGCAGGATCACTGTGCTGTTTTTACCCAAATGCAGTGCCTTGCCCTTGCGTGCCCAGGTCAGCGGCCCTTTACTGTTGTGTTTGGGAGTGGATGAGTGAGACCAGCAGAAACGGTGGTTCTTTGGGGAGGCAAGGAGAGGAAATGGGGACACGTGAATTCTTAGTCTGTCGTTTTCTCACACCACTCTCAGTTTGACACTAGATGTGAAATCTCATCAGAGCGTTCCTTGTCTCCTTCCAGACCAATATTAATTTTATGTTATAGAACTACTTCATTAACCAAGTGCTTATGGATTGTCTGTTATGGATAGAACCTTTTTCTCTGAAGACATTTAGAGAGAACCTGCTTTCATTGTCTGTATTTCTACACTATTGGGAAATTCTAAATCAAATAAAACTGAACTTCCAGAAAGCTGCGTTGAGTTAAAAATATACAGTATGGTCCCAGTGTCCGAGACTGTGAGCTTATTGTTCGACCAGACTGCTCTCACTCTGCAGTCCTCAGAGGAAGTGTTCAGTACGTACAGATGTTTATAATTGAGCCTTAATGAGTATTCTACTTGGCTTGCCCCTCAAAAGGTCGGCAGAAGTGGCCTGCGAGGATTTTAAGATGAGTGAACTGTCTGGAGGGTTAAGGAAGGTTAGGGTGGTTTTGGTAGATAAACGGTTTTAATGCACCCACGCCCTCCCCTCCTTCTGCTGTGAGGGGCACTCAGCGTGCGAGCCTTCGCCTGGTTCATTGCGAAGTTAGCAGGTCACTGATAAATGGATGATGTCAAGGCTACAGAGGCCTAATATGGAGGCGCATTCCGCTTGGCAGCCGTGACATTTAAAAATTCTTTAGATGGACACAGAAATTACTGTTGAAACTGTCAGTGTTTCTAAACTTTGGCTGCACACAGCTGCAGCGCTCTCGTTTCAGCACAGGAGTGACGTCGCACGCGTGTCTGTGTGTAGACGTGTGCCGGCGTGTGTAGTGATGTGGGGCGTGTTACTCCCACGTCCGTTCATCCCATCTACAAATGGTACTTGTATCAGGTGTATGTTGTGCTGCTGCTGGACATTCCAGTGGTGGACAGACCAATGTGATCCCCGTCCAGCGCTTTGCCCAGGTAGGGTGGTCAGCTAGGTGTAGAGTTCCGTCAGCTCCCCGAGGAGGTGCCAGGAAAAGCTTCCTGGAGGAAGTGGTGTCCATGCTGAGATCTGAAGGAGCAAGGGTTAGCTGGGCAGTCAGTGGGAGGTGGGGAGGAGGGCATCTGTCTGGCAGAGGGACAGGGTGACAGTGACTCACACAGAGACCCAGAGGCAAGTGGGACCTTAGACATCTAAGTAGCTTTAAAATAAGCAATCATCTTTTGTGCTTGTGACAGAGACTTAGAGGCTGGTGCTGCCTCTGTCACTCACTGTCTGGCTCTGGGCCAGTCACCTACCTCTGTGAAGAAAGTCACCTTTCTTCATCTGCAGGAAGAGGGTATTAAAGTAGATGCTCTCAAAGGCCTCTTCCAAACTCTACCTTGAATAATAGAACATGGGTCTTTGATTCACTTTTCTGCATTTTCTGGAGCGGATTTTTTTCCTTGAGACTGCCTTCCCTGGCATTGTATACCCTTTGATTTCTTCCCTTTCTGATAGTGAGAGGTTAATGAATGTAAGTAATTACAGTATTCTCCCATAAAGAAACAGCAGCTATATCCAGAGAACTGGCAAAGAATGCATTCTGAAGTCAAGGATCGAGAGTTAGATCATCCAGATCCTGGTTTGCCTCTAAACCCCAAGAGTTTAGATAATCGAGAGCAGCATTTCCTTCTAGAGCTTTGGCGGTCGGAAACTTTGGTTGTGGAAGCTTTATTGGCTGACAGGCTCTCTGGCCACTAAACAGAATATGTTTTACCTTTTAATTCTTTTTTTTTTCATGTGAAAGGTCTCATTCTATTATCAAAAGACTTTTGTATCTCTAATATGTTATTCCTCTTTTTTAAAAAAAGATTTCATTACTTTTAGAGAGAGGGGAAGAGAAGGAGAAAAAGAGGGAGAGAAACATCAATGTGTGAGAGATATACATTGATCGGCTGCCTCTCACATGCCCCCCGCTGGGGACCTGGCTTGCAAACCAGGCCTGTGCCCTGACTGGGAATGGAACCAGAGACCTTTTGGTTCACAGGCTGGTGCTCAATCCACTGACCACACCAGCCAGGGCTATGTTATTCCTCTTTTAGGCAACCGTCCTTTATCAGTGCTTATTAAATTTTAGTGTGTATAAGAACCACCTATTAAAATGCAGATTCTGTTTCAGTGGGTCTGGCTGGGGCCTGAGATTCTGCAGTCCTAGCTGACCTCAGGGGATGTGGCTGCTGCTGATCTAAGGACCCTGTTGGGAGGGGGTTCTTTTCTTTAAAAAAAAAATTAATTTAGTTTTCAGTCACAGTTGACATATTTCTGTAGTTTCAGGTACACAAATTAGATATTTATATACCTCACGAAGTGATCACCCCAGTAAGTCTTGTACCCACCTGGCACCATACATAGTTATTACAATATTATTTACTATATTTCCTATGCAGTACTTTAAATCCCTGTGACTGTTTTTTTTTTAAGTAACTTTTTTTTAGATTTTATTTATTTTTAGAGAGGGAAGGGAGGGAGAAAGAAAGAGAGAGAGAAACATCAATGTGCGGTTGCTGGGGGCTGTGGCCTACAACCCAGGCATGTGCCCTGGCTGGGAATCGAACCTGCGATGCTTTGGTTTGCAGCCCGCACTCAATCCACTGAGCTACGCCAGCCAGGGCCTGTTTTTTTTTTTTTTTTTTTATCCTCACCTGAGGATATGAGGATATGTTTATTGTCTTGGAGAGGGAGGGGGAGAAAGAGAGGAAGAGACAGACAGACATAGACATCAGTTGGGATTGGTGGCCTCCCACCTTAATTGAGCCCTCAGTTGAGCCCACTGGAGGGCGCTGCAACCAAATGAGACACCTGGCCAGGGCCCCAGGACTGTTTTTATAGCTAGCTGGCAATTGGTACTACTTAATCCTTTTTGAATATCAGAGCTCTAGGTCCTTTAAACAGGGGCCTATTGAAGAAGGGAGAGTCAGTTTAGGCACTTAGGGAATGTTAGGTCCTCCCTCTCTTGTTATCATTAGTTCTCTGAGTGGCTGAGATTCAGCCAAAAACTGATTCTTAAGACAATGCTCAGAGGTTTTGACTTATTCTTGGGCTCCCCCTGGTGGCCCAGTGAAAATTTAACTTTAAAACATTGTTAACAGCGATGGTAGGAAAGGACTGCTTGATTTGAAACACTGTAAGTCAATCAAAATGTGTATTACCATGAAATAGGAAGAGAAACAATGGCAGTTGGGAAAAATGTTCTTCTAAAAGGAATTAAAATATTTTAAACAGGAGCAAATGTGCATTACCATGAAATATGAAGAGAAACAATCGCAGTTGAGAAAAGTGTTCTTCTCAAAGGAATTAAAATATTTTAAAAAGGAGCCCAGCATACGTATAGCTGACTGCACTTTAAGATCACATGCTTTCTGTCCATTTTATCTAGCCATTGTGGGCACACTTGAGGCTGAAAAGGAAAGAAGAAAATCTGGGCTGTCATCAAGAGTTCAGTTTCGAAACCAAGGTGCTGAGCCCAAGTATACGAAGGAGATAACCCTGAACAGGCAGAAGCAGAAGGCGTGCATGGAGGAAACCCTCTGGCTGCAGGTGAGGCGTGCGGACAAGTCAGAACAGTTTGTTTAAAGGGACAGGGGTTGGGTTTTATTGTGGCATATATAGATCTTTGAAATGTATACTAGCAACCCATTCAGTATAAAATAAAGCACTGTTTTGGAGTTATAGCAGTAGCATTTATACCATGCTTACCTATATTTCTGCATATGTTTCAGGAAAATATCAGAGATAAACTGCGTCCCATCCCCATAACTGCCTCAGTTGAGATCCAAGAGCCAAGCACTCGGAGGCGAGTGAACTCACTTCCAGAGGTTCTTCCCATTCTTAACTCAAATGAACCCAAGACTGTTCAAACAGACGTAAGTCTTTCTGATTTTTGTTTTGCGAAAGTTTTTACCATATTGTTATGCTAAATCAAAAGTTCTTAAAGGCCCTAGACCTAGTGCTTTGCTTTGAAGGCCATTCCTTTGCATTAAATAAGCTTTTAAAAAATATATGCAAAGTGTGAAGATCTGTTTCTCCAATTAGCAATGAATATAGATGCATACAGAATGCAGTTTGGAGCCAGAGAGTGTTTTTCTTAAGGTGTTTTTGGCCACTGAAACTTACGGAGCCTGTAATTGGCAGGACTTTCTTTTTTAGGATTTTATTTATTTATTTTTAGAGAGAGGGAGAGGGAAGAAGAAAGAAAGAGAGACAAACATCGATGCATGAGAGATATGTTGATTGGTTGTCTCCCACATGCCCCCATTGGGGACCTGGCCTACAATCGAGGCACGTGCCCTGACTGGGAATCGAACCAGCAACCTTTCTGTTCACAGGCCGGCACTCAATCCACTGAGCCACACCAGCCAGGGCAGCAGAACTTCTTATTTTCACATCAGGTTTCTCCTACAGCTGTATGTAGAAGGAAAAACACATTGTATTTTACCATTGAGAACATTGACATGTAGAAAACAAACTGTTAGTCTGAACATTAAAATCAAGGAGTCTCAAAATTCAGAAAGTCAAAAAAGTAGTAGCAATGAAATAATCATTTAGAGCTAAACGTCGCCTATAATCTTAGTAAAAAACTTATATGGGTTGCCATATACCTGTGAGGTGGGGTCTGTTTGCCAGGGTTTAAGCTTCTTGAGATACAGGATTAGGCTGGGGAGCTGTGACACCTTAATTTGGCATTATGTGCTCGCTGTCAAAAGTCCATTTAGTGCTATAGTGCCCACTCTGAGACCCCTGGTCCTGGGGGTCCACTGACGAAGCCTCTCAGAAGTGAGTACTCACTGCATTAGGCTGAGGAGCCAATGCCAAAGTCTATACATTGTCAGCCTCTATCGTCACTAGGTATAGTTCCTTATACTTTCGTAGATTTTTATAAAATACTTTTGATGTTGTTGATTATCACATTAATATGTCTTGTGTACATTCCTAGCTCCATAGTCATGTTAAATATAACAGGCAAGGAGACAGCTTTCCTAGTGATTTATCAGTGTGATCACTGAGCACTGACCAGCACTGTGCTAAGCACTCTGTGCCATGTGCTCTCCTAACCTTAAACTGTTTCCTGATCTATGCCATGGGTTCGTAATTGGACTTCCTCATAGGTCTGCTGTGCGGATTAAATGGGTCGCATGTGATTGTGTTAGGTAGGTGGCATCAGGACCATCATTACAGTAGCCCCATGTCGCAGGGCAGTGGTGTCCCTATGTTACCTACAGCCACTCTCTCGGAGCCAGGCCTGGAGCATGAACACCACCTTTCCTACCCCACAACCTCACTGCCTGGGCAGAGGGTCTTCAAACCCAGCTTTGTTGGACAAAGTGGGCACTATATGCGTGCCGAAGTACGTCTGAAGCTTGGCTTTCGCTGCGGTGATTGTCGCACTGGGAAACGAGCTGCGTGCAGACAGCCAGTCAGCTGTTTAGATGCCTTTGTGAGGGCTACAGGCAGGCGTGACCGGAGTGTGTTCTCCTCGCAGGTGCACTTCCTGAAGGAGGGGTGTGGACACGACAACGTGTGTAACAGCAACCTGAAGCTAGAGTATAAGTTTTGTACCCGAGAAGGAAGCCAAGACAAGTTTTCCTACTTACCAATGTAAGAGCTGCTCTGCAGCACCAGCGGATGTGACTCTGGCTGTGCGGTGGCTTTTGTTGAAAAAGGATTTACTGAAAGCATTTGGAGGACTTGGTCAATTTTCTTTCCTTTCTTTTTCTTTTTTAATAGCCAAAAAGGTATTCCAGAACTAGTTCTAAAAGATCAGAAGGACATTGCTTTAGAGATAACAGTGACAAACAGCCCTTCCGACCCAAGGAATCCCACAAAAGACGGTGACGACGCTCACGAAGCGAAACTCATCGCAACTTTCCCGGACACTCTGACTTACTCTGCGTACAGGGAGCTGAAGGCTTTCCCCGTGAGTATGGCTCTAGACCAGCTGGGAGGGACGAGCCAGCACTGTGGCAAGGGAACGTGTTGTGATCTCATGTGTTTTTCCGTCACAGGAGAAGCAGCTGAGTTGTGTTGCCAACCAGAATGGCTCACAAGCAGACTGTGAGCTTGGAAATCCTTTCAAAAGAAATTCCAGTGTAGGTGATGCCTTCACATCCTGAATCTTACTGTTTCAGATGCCATTACAATGTCAATATGGTTGGCCTGTCTTAATGGCTATTTTTACATTTTAGGTTACTTTTTATTTGATTTTGAGTACAACTGAGCTCACCTTTGACACCACAGATCTGGATATTAATCTGAAGTTGGAAACGTAAGAGTTACTTCAACCTTTCTATTTAGAATTATTTCATGAAAACACAGCTAGTCAATGAATTGGCCCTGATCTAATTCATAAAAGAAGTGTGATTGTAATGAGAAAACTGACTGTTAAAATAAAACCCTATTGTTTCCTTTTTCATTTTCAGAACAAGCAATCAAGATAATTTGGCTTCAATTACAGCTTCAGCAAAAGTGGTTATTGAACTGCTTTTATCGGTCTCGGGGTAAGTGTTTGTGTTCAGCATAGCAAATCAGCGTTTGAAAGAACCATTTACAATCCTCGCTAAAACTGGTGTTTTTGAATTTACCAGAGTTGCCAAACCTTCCCAGGTGTACTTTGGAGGCACAGTTCTTGGTGAGCAAGCTATGACATCTGAGGATGAAGTGGGAAGTTTAATAGAGTATGAGTTCAGGGTAAGTTGTGGCAGTTGGTCCTTTTATTATAGAGACCAGAAGGTAACACATACTAAATATGGTCTTGAACATGTCATTTTAATAAGTAATGTTAATAAATAAGCCTGATAAACACTCTGTGGAAAGTGAGCTTGCCAGTTTTTAATCAGCATACTGGTGTAAGTTTTCTCCTCCAGAACAGAGAACAGTGGCTGTCACTTGGCACAGGACGGTGTTCAGAACCCAGTTCAGTTTGGCCTTTCCTTACCAGCGAGTTTTATGTGTGTGTGGTACAGAAACATGTGGATAGTTGATGCCTGTGCCCCTGGTTCTGTCCACAAAATACAGGCAAATCTCAGCATCATTTATATCTGGCTGTAGAACGTGTTGCGATTTACTTCTTCCTCCATTTTTAAGGCCATCTCTCTTACTGCTTGTGGTTAGTGTCCACTCGCCTTTCCCAAGCCCAGTTCTGTGCTGGTGAATGTGGACTCGGCACGCACCCGTAGGGAGACCAGTGGCTGCTCTGACCGTTCCCAAGGGGGCGAGCGCAGGGACTCTGAGCCCTGTTGAATGGATGAACATAAACCCGTGTCACAGAGTTGGCTCATAACTCGTGTGGGTCGGGTCTGTGGGGCTGGAATCCTGTTCCTGCAGCAGAGTGACCGCTGTTGAGGGGGACGTCTGAAATGAACCCGCCCCTGCCCACCGCAGGGTGAGGAGGCCGAGTTTTCCTCTGTGCAGCTCTTAACCTGACAGACACAGCTCGGCAGGGAGTGGTGGTGGCCGAGACAGTTCTGTGGGCATGGCCGAGAGAGACATCGGTGGGTTCTGGAGTGGTCCTCCACACAGACAGCAGGGCTGCACCTCTTTGGGCTTCAGCTGCAGAGGTTGCTCTGAACCACTTGGCCTTGTAAATTCCTGGCTGCCATCATGGTTTACTCAGTGTCTCAGCTGTTATCCCAAACCTCCCAAGGGTAGGAGAGGACAGAAGCAACTTCATTTTCATGGTAGGTGGCATCTCCCAGAAGCAGGCTGTTGGTGCATTACCACAGCACAGACTTTGTCATGTTCCAGGTAGGGTGGTTACTGACACAGGTGATTTTCCCCTGGGCACATAGAGAGCAGGGCGTGGGTGCACCACGGACTGTGCTGCAGGTAGGGAGCAGGTTGTGGGTGCACCATGGACTGTGCTGCAGGTAGGGAGCAGGATGTAGGTGCACTGCGGACTGTGCTGCATGTGGCGATTGATCCTGGATGGAACAAACCATCATTTGCCTCCGACCTTTTCTGTTTTTATTGACACGAATCTTTAACCACAAATCTATATTTTGAATGTCCTATTAATAGTCCAGTTTTAGAACCTTTGCTTTTATTGTAGGAGTATGCCAGGTATTTTGGCTTTTTTCTCTTGGCAGTAAGAGCTGCTACTTAATTCTCTATCATGATAATTACACTGAGATAACACATACTGTTTTTCCAACAGGTTATTAACCTGGGCAAGCCTCTTAAAAACCTCGGCACAGCGACCTTGAATATCCAGTGGCCAAGAGAAATTAGCAACGGCAAATGGTTGCTTTATTTGGTGAAAGTAGAATCCAAAGGATTGGAAAAGATAGCGTGTGAGCCACAAAGTGAAATAAACTTTCTGAAACTAAAGGTATGTTGGTGGATTCATCTCAGGTCTCCATGGACTCAAATAGGAGAAGCCGACCTTCGAGGGGGAGCCCATTCCTTCCCTTAGGAAACAAATGTCCCGGCGTGCCCACCTTCTCTTCGGTGTCACGGTTTCTCTCCCACGGTTGTGTGACCAAGTCAGGCCAAGGACTTCTGTTGATTAGAGGCCATTATGGCTTCTGAGTCAGGGTCATCCCCTGCTTGTTGAGGCAGGCGACCCTTCCTCGAGCCTGAGGAGCCCCCGTGGGACAGAAGGAGGGCTGGGACGGGCTGCGGGGTGGCCAGCCGGCGTTCACTCCCGGCAGAACCAGACTCCTCCCCCAGCGCACCGCACCTCAGCTGGTGACCTGGAGAGCCTTTCACTCCAGTTTTCTAAAAGAGTAAATATCGAGTATTTATTGTGTCTTGGGCACTGTGCTCGGCATTTTGTTTGCATTTTCTCATTTCTTCTCTTGATAGTCCTGTGAGGTCTTCTTTTTTTCTTCATCATTTCATAGTCGAGGAATTTGAAGTTCAGAGAGAGATGAACTTTCTGATTCACTCGGCAGTTAAGAGGCAGATTCAACATTCAACCTCAGGTCCCCTTGCTTTCAAAGCCTTCACGCGTAACCAACTGCTCTCTCGCCTGCTCCGCACTCACTTATGTAACTGGTTTATCGCTCACGCTCCAGCGGAGGAGACTTGTTTTGTTACTGAATGGCTGCTGCTTCTCTCTGAAGCTGTAAGGTGACCGGGTGCGGTCATTGTTCATAGTCATGGCTTATAGAATGAACCTCTACTCATGCACTTTGAAAAACAAGGTGGTCCATATTCCTAACCCTTATTTTAAGGAAAATTCAATTATAAAACTTCTTACAAGGCTTAGTTTTCAGTACTCTAATTTGAGTAAGTCACATGCCAGTTCTTTTTGCTTTTTCGCCTATTCTTTAGCATCACTTATCTGTTCAAGGTATGCTGACTTTTTACCACATGTGGGCCCCGAACTGGCGCTGGGGATACAGGAATGACCTTTGATCCCCTGTCTTAGGATGTTCACGGTTTGGTGGGGAGACAGAACCGAGAAAGCCTCTTTCTCTCCCTGGGTTTAAGGTCGGAGTAGGAAACAATTACCTTAATAAACTTGAAGTGAAATAATAACACTTGCAAATTTTATACTTCATTTATTTTTTAAAGATATTTATTTACTTATTTATTTTTAGAGAGGGAGGGAGAGAGAGAGGGGGAGAGAGCATCGATGTGAGAGAGGAACATCAACCGGTTGCCTTTTGCGTGCAACCTGACTGGGCACCGGACCTGCAACCCGGGCACGTGTCCTCACCAGGAGTCCAACCGGGCGGCCTTTTGCTTTGTGGGATGTTGCCCAACCAACTGAGCCACATGGTCAGGGCCACACTTAAATTATTTCTGTGCCTTTGGTGACAGGAGAAGGGCAAATATTGTGGATTATGTGAGTTTGGAATCATTTGGGAGGGGGTGCCCAAGGGGTTTGTACAGTCACGATGAAGAATTGTAACCGAATGCAGGTCCAGCTGCCTCCCTCTTCGAAAGCCAATACTCGAGAGGCAGGTGCTGAGGCAAAGGGAAGAAGTTCATTCAGGTGCCGGCCACCTGGAAGATGCAGGCCTCTCGTCTCAGAGCCCTCCTCAGTGCAGGCAGAGGGGAGGCAGAGGTGTTTGTAAGGAGGGGGAACAGAATAAAGGCCAAGGGAGGGGCTTGAAAAGTTCTCTGCGTGCAGACGAGCACAGTCCATTCTGATGAGGACAGTGATGGTCCAGCGTGATCACCCCGGTCTAGTCATCCTGGCTCCACAGCCGAAGGTCAGCAGATCTCCCAGAGCGGGGACGCTGAAGGTCACAGTCTGTCTCTTCTGAAGTTAGTTCCCAGGATTCTTACACAAACATGCTGTTCATCTACCAGCCACACACTAGTCAGAGTCAGCACTTACAGAAACAGTGTCGAAAGAATGGCGGAGTGGGTCACAATTTCCCACAGTTACAAGTCCCTACTGTTGGTAGAATTATGTTCAGTGGAGTGATTAGCTGTATAATTCTTTCCAGGAGTCGCATATGTTGAGAAAGAAACGGGAAATTGCTGAAAAACAGATTGACGAAGGCAGAAAATTGCTTTTATTTGGTGAAAGAAAATACCAGACCCTTGTAAGTATTTTTAAGGGTTGCGACGCTGATGGAGGGTGGGAGGAAAGTCTCCCCAGCCCCTCACGCCTCAACCCCTGCTCTCCCTCCCTCCGCAGAACTGCAGCGTCAACGTGAAGTGCGTGAACATCCGGTGCCCGCTGCGAGGCCTGGACAGCAAGGCCTCCGTGGTTCTGCGCTCGAGGTTATGGAATGGCACGTTTCTAGAGGTGCGGCCCTCCCTGCGGCTGTCCCCAGGAAGCCATTGGCCAGCTCCTGGGACATTTCTCACCTCCCTAATGCACTTGCTAACTTTGTCTCCAAACAGGAGTACTCTAAAATGAACTACTTGGACATTCTCGTGCGGGCCTCCATTGACGTGACTGCTGCCACCGAGAACATCAAGCTGCCCAACGCCGGCACTCAGGTGAGCAGCTCTCCGGTGTCCGTTCGCAGCGAGTCACTCTTTCCTTTGCCCTGTGCCTGCGGCCTGAGGGCGTGCTGCTTCGGTGGCCATGTCACAGCATTGTTAACCCCTATTAAGGAAGGAGAATTCAGGTAATGTCTTCAGGTGCTGCCTCCCCCGACACAGTATTATGGGGTCATCGGATTCTGTTGTGCACGTGGCAGGTTCGAGGGCTGCTGGGTCGACGAAGTGAGAGGTGCGCCTCCCAACTCTATAGGAACCTGTGTCTTAGACGGTCCCTGATACCATAGCTGTTCATGGAGGACCCCCTTGGTGGCAACCTCACTGCTCTGTGGTGTAGCTTGTGCCACGTGTGGCCAGCTGCAGTTCATTTTGGCTCACCAGAAATGTTAAGGGAAAGAAGTGAGCCAAGCAGGGGGCTTCTGTCAGCTCACCGGAGAGTCAGAGAAAAGAGGGCCTTGAGGGGACGGGTGCAGGGGGTTACTCTGGAAAGAACTGCCACTGCCCATTGCCCCCTGGTTGCAAGCCTGGCGGGGTCCACTTAGAGTTTAGGAGATGCACACCTGAACCCTAAGTGGGTGGGGAAGGGAGAAGGGGATGGGAGAGGTGCCTGTGTGCTCAGAGGAGGGAGAGCGGGCTGGGTCCTCGTCTTTGGGATTTTAAAGGCTGGGAACTTGGGGGAGGATCTCAATAGAATATTTATCACTTTTCCAAGTGTGTCCTTTCAGGGACATGGTCTCCGCTGATTGGCTAGCACCAGGGCAGGGGTTCGTTAGTCATTGCAGCTGGTCCTGGCATCGTCACCCACCTGGTTTTGCTGCTTCTGTGGATGTGGAACTGAAATACGACTGAGGCCTTAACATTTTCTCTAGGGAGGAAAGGTCAGGGGTCTAAACCACCTGCCCAGCCACATGCCCAGAGAGGAGAGGCCGCCCTGGGGCGAGATCCGGCATCAGTTTTGCTGATTGCTAGCTGCCCGGGGTTTTCTTCCCTGGGGACCTTCTGTATCGGACTGTAAATTGCTCAGCCAGTTTGTTTGGCTACTGTCTCAGTTTCTCCATTCCACTTCCAAGGAAGTTTTCTGGCTTCTTACTATCCTGCCTCATGAAGAATTTTGTGGTCTGGGAGATGGTGAATCAGGCAAGTGTTGTTGACTTAAGCCAAGGAGGAGGAAGGGGTTGTTCTTTGGCTGTAGTTATGTTTCCCATTTCATTCCTAAGGACGTAATGTAGGAAGAATGCATCTAAGCTGCCAAAGATAAAAGGAAATGTGATGATAGGTAAAAATGTAGGGACATCATTTTTCAGAGGAATGAGATTTTTTCTGGGGGGTGGGGCTCTAAATTCGGAGCAGAATTTGAGAAGGGTCCCTTTATAAGATGGATTTCTGACATGGGAAACATTCACTAAAGGGAGTATGTCTTTAATAGAGTTTTATAAAAGGTATGAAAATCCCTCCATCAGGTGATTTCTTACACTGATACTTAGCGTCAGTGGAGGGTGTCCGTTACCCAGGGAGTCAGGGCAGCGTCTGGCGGTGGGCCAGCCCGTGCGGCCACACGCTGCTCCCTGGCGATGGAATTTAATGCATCAGCAGAGCTGATGCCCCTTTTCCCCTCCCAGGCTCATGATGGATGAGGATCACATGCTTAGGTCATCCCTATGGAAATGCCTAGATTTTAATGAAACTGAAAAAAATACTGTTTTTGGAGGTGGAGTAAGTTCTAGTCACGCTAGCCTGTCACTGTGTGTCGGCAGCAGTCGCCATGGGAAGTGAGCAAAGGCTTCCCAGAACTGTAGCTCAGGAATTGCAGCTCGGAACTGGCCTCCCCTTACTCAGTTCTGAGGCCAGCATTTCCTTATCATTGATCCCAACTGGAGAATGGTGGTCATCATAAAACAAAAACCAAAACCCTCCCTGGCTGTTGTGGCTCAGCTGGTTGGAGTATTGTCCTGTAATTGAAAGGTGGTGGGTTCGATTCCCCGTCAGGGCACATGCCCAGGTTGCAGGATCGGTCCCCAGTCCCTGTGCAGACGATCCCTGGTCCTGCGTGTGCAAGAGGCACCTGATCAGTTATTCTCTCTCACGTCGATGTTTCTGTCTCTCCTTCCTCTCTCTCTAAAAGCAGTGAAAAAATATCCGTGGGTGAGGATGGGAAAAAACCCCTTCAGATGATAACTAAAGGAAACAAATGCTAAAATCTTGCTCATCTTCCTGGTCCCCAGCATGGCCTCGCCCACAGACACGGTGTGCTCTGCAAAGCTGTTGCAGAGCACACCGTGTAGCCCAGCCCCTCCCTTTGGTCCTCTCAGTCTTTGTCCCATGAGTTGTGTGGGAATTCCCGCAAGGCTCCAAGTTCTGGTTAGAATGGTGCCAGACCCGGGGCTCAGAGCGCTCCCCTGGATCCGCACCTCCCCACCCTGCCACCTGGGACTGCAATATCGAAAGTTACCTTGTTCACCAGGGTGCTGTTGAACAGTAGCCTTTCGTGGGAGTGATTTTCCTCCTATTACCAGCTGTTTTAAAACCTTTGGTACACAGTGTGGTTAGAATAAGGTTGATTCTCCTTGGCATGCACCAGTTTCTACTCTCCACGTCCAGATTTATCAGAACGTACTCTTACAAACGAAGATGGCCCTTCCAAAGTTGTCACCTTGCCTCAAAGGACACACTGTGCACCGTCCCTATGCTAGGTACTAGGGAAAGCACATTTCATTGAAATTCAGCGCAGGCTAATTGAAGTTACCTTTTGTTTCATTTCACATCACACCAACTATATTATTTCTTCACTCATCTCATCAGAACCAGTGATCTTAAGAAGGGGTTGTTTTAGTCTTAAAGCTGGGACAGACACCTGTGGGGGAAGGGAGGCAAGGGGAAGTGAGCCAGGGGCCCCTCTGGGCTGGGAGCTGGGGAGAAACCTCATCGAGAGCAAAACAGGAAACCTGGTGGCTGGTGAGGGTGTTGACGCCAGTGTAGTTGGCTGAAAATCTGAATGTGAATTTCTTCCTATGAAATGTTTGAAGAAAAGCAGTTTTCTTGCTTTTTAAGTATTTTCCGAGTCAAATGGGGTTGATAGGTGTTTTCTAGTGTAAGTAGCGAGGGAAGTACTTTAATGAAGAGATTTCTTTTTTTAGGACCCAGAGTTGAGAGGTGTTGAAGTGCAGTGTGGGCATGGAGACATTCTTAGGCAGCATCCAGTGTCCAATCCTAATGTAGACTACTTGGTTAAACACGTCGCAGAGGGTAAATGCTCCTTCTCAGTTTTGTTCGCTCTTTATATGCTCAAGATAGCAGAAACCGCAAAGTGGTGGATCTCTCGTCCACAGCGTAGTTTACAAAACCACATTCCCCGCGGTCACCAGGTCTTTCATGTGCATTGGAAAATCTCCCGGCGTCACAAACATGCACTTGAATTCTGACCCACATTAACCCCATCGTTGTGAATTTCCATAACAACTTAGATTTCTAAATGAACACTTTTTATTTCATTGATATTTGCCAGTTATGAAATGTTTAGACATTAAGTTTCTCATCAGCTACTCTCAGTGGCCTTTGAACAAAACCAGGGTCTACGTTGTCCACACACATTGTTGCACGAGATGGCACCCGGCCCTTTCAGGAGAGTTTATTGTTCGGGAGGGTCCTCCGTTTGCTATCCTAAGGAGAAGTTAAAACAGTATCAGCCATGGGGCTCCATCTCTGGTTTTGTATTTCACAACACCTTTAAAATCTGAGTGAGGAGTGTTGTCCATTATGCATAAACTGACCTTGTTATTTTCATTGCTGAAAACTAATTTTTAAAAAGTGTGATCAGCTCTGGCCAGATAGCCAGTTGATTAGAGTGTTGTCCCGGTGGGTTCGATCCCCAGTCGGGGCACATACAAGAATCAGCCAATGAATTCATAAATAGGTAGGACAGCAATTCACTGTCTCCCTCTTTTCTTCCTTTCCCTCCCACCCTCCCCTCGCTCCAAAATCAGTAAATAAAAAAATTTTAAGTGATCATTCTCAAAACAATACCAGGTTACATGAATGAAATAAGTTTGGTTGTGTATCAGTAACTGTTATAGCTTGATGTTGAATGATGGTTCATTATATAATTTTAGCTACTTTTGATAACAAAAATTTTTAAAAGAAATAAGTTGGCAAAGAAATAACCACTTTGTCAAAACATAATCTTGCATTTTCTAGGTTCTGGGGGAAAGATCTCTAAGGAATGCCTCTTATTAAGGGAGAGATTTTTGCATCAAAAAGGCATCTCATCCTTCCACAGGCTGCATTGTCTAAAGTGTGTCTGGAAGCATCGTTAGGACTACAAATTCCTGATGTTGACTGCCTTCCTGTTTGATAATCACGTTGCTTTCTTGTGTGGCCCATAGGTCCGTGTGACTGTGTTTCCCTCGAAGACTATAGCTCAGCACTCAGGAGTGCCCTGGTGGGTCATTCTAGTGGCCATTCTCGCTGGAATTTTGATGCTTGCTCTGTTAGTTCTTTTATTATGGAAGGTAAGTTATATCTGGCATTTGAATTCATGATTGTAAACTTTATTTCATGTTTTTAAAAAAGTGAATTTTAACACTGATAGCATATATATATATATCATTGATTCCTTCTTCTCAACACTTTATTATGAAATTTTCCAACATATAGCAAACTTGAGAATTTTGCAATAAACACCTGCATATCTCCCTAATACCTTGTATTTAAAGATATACTATTTATATGGCTTAAGTTTCTTAAATGTATACATTCTGTTTTTGTTTTTTCACATATAATTTAGCATGTGTGGTAAATAACAATTTAAAAAACTTTTCTACTTTATCATTTTCTTTATCTAAGATCAAATCATTTTCTAAACCTAAGCCAAATTGCTGGGTATCACATTAAGCTAAATCTGTTTCCCTGTTAATTTCAGCTTCTGTAAAGAAGCATTCATGGCAGCCACTGGGGTTTGTTACCATTGCAGCTTGGTTAGGAAGATAAAATTATGAATTTAATAAATAACTCCATCTTAAGGGGATTGTCGTAGCCTATATAAAAACACGGAGAAGATTTGAGTTCAACGTGATGTTCTTTATTACAGTTGGCCCTGCCAATAAAATTAGTGTCTTCCCCCTGCCTCCTACCAGTAAATAGTTTACATTGCGAAAGAGTGTGGGTGCGATGGATGCAAACATCCTGTTGCCAGAGATGATGACCTGTAGATTTTGGGTTTATTCTCAGTAATGGAGGTCCCCAGTCCCTTACCAACAATTACAAATGGCAGAGAAAAAAACAAACTAGGAAAACTGAAATTTTGTCATGACTTCTTTGGCAGCAAATCTTGACCTGATGTGAAGAGAGGCTATTTGGAGTCTTTATCCTCCACTCATTAACTTTACTACAGAAATATTAAAGTTTTGGTTATAGCAGCACTATGGATGTAGCATATTGCTTTTCTAAAATGCCAGAAACTCTAGATTTCCAAACATAACTGGTGCAGAGGGTTATGGATAAAGAATTAGTAACCCCAGCCAACAATCTCCGGGATCAAACTATCCTTATCCTTTCCTTGGATCCAAAAGTACAATGGACAAGGTTCAGCATATTCACATTTTCAAATATTGGTCATCTTTTTCTTTTTTGCTTTATTTTTCCAAGTAACTTCCTTTTGCCAATCTGAGATAATTTACTGGTGTCCTCCAAATATATGGCTGAATCTTGGTAGCTCCTTACACCAAGATTTCATCAAGCGTGGTACACCAGCTGGTCCTACCTCTGGTGCTCCGTGAGGTAGTAGGCTTCTCTGGTTAAGTACAACCAACCAGTATAGGGAATGCCCTGAAAATCATTTTGATAAAGAACTGAATTTAAAGTTTGATATTTAAGGATGACCTTCTTATGCTCTCTGGGAGAGGTAAAAAAGGATAGTCTTTTTTCTGAAGCAGGTCTCATTGGCAGTCCTTTTTTCTTTTCTTTTTTTTTTTTAAATCCTTACCCAGGGACAGGCTTACTGATTTTAGAGAGAGGGGAAGGGAGGGAGAGAGAGAGGGAGAGAACACTGAAGTCAGAGAGCAGCACTGATTGGTTGTCTCTCATATGTGCCTGACTGGGGACCTCGAGATTGTGCCCCGACTGGGCATGTGCCCTGACCGGGAATCCAACCCACAGCCTGTGGTGTATGGGATGATGCTCCAACCAAGTGAGCCACACTGGCCAGGGCTCATCGTCAGTCTTTAATGAGGGTGAGACACAGCAGTGGGTTGAGTGTTAAGAAATCCAAGCTGTGTAATCTTGGGCAAATCATTTCACTTCCCTAGGATACTGGTTTGCCTTAGCTATTTAATTAGTGAGTTTGATTAGGTAATCTCACTTTTTTTTGGGGGGGGGGTAAGTTCTAAAGTACTGTAACTCACAAGTGAACTCTAAATATCTACCACCCTCACGTGGAAATCATTTTTATTACTTCACAGATACTCTTCTTTCTGAAACCGAACTGTTTGTTTTTATGTATTAAAGTCATAGAGTTTTAGGGCCAGAAAGGACTCTAGGTCAGTGTCCTCAAAATTGGGTTTTGCACACCCACATGGGTGCCAAGACTAAGCAGGGGGGCTTCAATATCCCCACTTCAGTCAGACCAGTTCTGATTTTATCTGCTTTCTATAGTGGGATTCTGCACAGGATTTTGTTTAGAGGTAGGAGAGCAAAGTCCTCCAGGCTGGTCCACTCACCTGCATTTTGCTAACAAAGATGCATGTGCCCATGGATATTAAGAAGGTTGTCGAGTCGGAGGCAGGACCAGGGCTCTTGGTTCTGGTTCCTTTCTTTTCCTACCCCATTTGCTAGTATACATTATTGTTACATTGGTTGGGAGTGTTCACTGTGAATTAAGTTGAGAATCACAAATAAATACGGAGATATGTAGTCTAGGTCGACACTGCCCAGTAAAACGTCCTGTAATAATGGAACATTCTGCGGCTGCACTATCTGATGTGTTCGCTTCCATGTTGTCCAAAGCAGATTTGGATTCTTACCTTCATGAGTTGCGAGACTTGGAAGCAGAATTTGGTGGGAGGGCAGACATTCAACCATGTTACATTTCAAAGGGCAGTTCCGTGGCCTTAAGAACTAGATAAAAGGAAGTGAAGTTCTCCATTGCCGAATGAAGGAAATTACAGTTGAAAGTGGGATTATATTTTGATACTCATTTAGAGTTCCTAACCTGAGGAGTGTAGATTCCTACTACTCCAGGGTTATGCAGTGGTTCAGAGTTTGGGAAAATGACTATAATCATTCTTTCATGACAGTACATTTGAACTTTTATTGTGATTTCACCCCACAAATTCAAAGCCCTCAAGTAGCTGGCATTTGTTCCCTACAATTTACTGTGAAAAGCAGAAAAACACAGTATCTGTTTTATTTTTTGTGCTAAATCTTAGAGAATTTATTCTTTAACTTTTTGTCTCAATAAGCTAAGCTATAGAAGTCAATCTTCTGCCTATTTTAGGGTTCATGTTCTTCTGTAAGAAGAAACCGCTCAAAGCTATAATCAGATGTGTATATACTTTCCTTTTTAGGATGATTTTTGTCATCAAGGTTTCTATTACAAATAAAGGAATACTTTGCTGAGTAATGCCACCTGTGTAACTATTTGACCAGAGACCCAGGGTAATGTGGCTGGGGTGGTTGCTGTCCCAAAGTACCATAGCGCAGCAGCTGTTTGCTTGTGGTTGATTTATACTGGTCTCTTTGTAAACAAGCTGTAAATGGAAAACAGGTTAAAATCTGAGATATGCTTTTGTTTAGCTCTTCACAAAACTGTAAAACTGACCAAATACCTTGCTTCCTTGTAGTGTGGTTTCTTCAAGAGAAATAAGAAAGATCATTATGATGCTACATATCACAAGGCTGAGATCCATGCTCAGCCGTCTGATAAAGAGAGGCTTACTTCTGATGCGTAGTATTGATCTACTTCTGTAATTGGTAATTGATCAATGTTTTTTAATTGCTAGCTGTGGGACCTGCTATGGTTGTGGTGGCTAACTTTAAGAGCAACAGCTTGCTGTGTGTGTCCCATTAACAGATGTTTTCAAATGTCCACACTGGCTTGCCTTGCTTGGACCTATTTTATTTATTTCATTTGAAAGCTCAAATTTTGTTTTTTTTTTAACACACAAAGAATCATTTGTTGCAGGTGAGTTATTTCTGTTGTTACTGTTGTTGAACATCACCCACAGCGATGAAGAAAACTGCAGTCTTTCTACACACAAAAGGAGGCTTAGTAGCCCAGTTTGCCACATGTTGTTAAATCAGTATGCAGCATCCCACTTGGAATTTCAAAGATGCATAAGAAATCATTCCCGATTTCTTATCCATTTGGAATTTCCTACAGATAGACGCTTGTGTTGCCTAATTAACCCATTGCATGTTGGAAACAATGGTGTTTCTCTTGATGAGAAGGCTTTCTCGCTGTCATCTTTTTGATCTTGCTATTAAGTGGTGGGAGAAGGCTCGGAATGCTTTTGTTGTTGCTCAGAAATTGTTTTATGCTGGCTAAGCATGCACCTTCCTTTTCCCGCATATCTACCTGAGGTCAAAGACCATTACAACAAACTATGACTATTGCCATGGTGGACATTACGGCCAGTTTCAGAAGATAGTTTGTTACCAAAGTGACCTTCAGTGTACAAAATTATAGTGCAAAAATGTTCTGGATGGTTTTTATTTCAATATGTTGTAATGGAGTTTGACCTTGTTTCATATTCCTAGAGATTTGATTCAACCTTGGGTCTCCGTTGATTTTAAGTTATGTTTTGCTTCTGTTGCTTGCAAATCCGTGGAAACAGGAACTAGCGATGGTTCCTTTTTCCATTTCTGGGCGTGAGAGGATAGAATTCCTCCCACAGCCCCTCCCCAAACACTGTCACGACGAACCCCAGCATTTCCATTTTGGTGTACATGTCACCCTTACTTTCCTTCTTTATTGAAGTGGGCCAAGAGCCACATTCTGTAATAAATACGTATTTTTGGCTTTTGTGCACAAAATAATAAAGGAGTCCATGTAGAAATGGCCTTAGAACATTTCTTGGTCCATTATTCCTATTGATTTCAGTGATAACTATACACATAATTTTATTTTGCCCCATGACACTTTCATGACATAAATTTGTTCAACATAAATGTTCTGCTCCTGTTGAGTTTGCATAACAAACACATTAATTGACCATTCTAAGTATCTTCCTCATCCTTCTATCTCCATTTTTAATTGAAAACATCTTTTAAAAAATGCCTTTATATATTTTATTCATTTAAAATATTCAGTCTGATTGTTTAATTATCCAGATACGTTCTCAATAAAAATCTACTTTGAATCAGATTGAATATTTTATGAAAAATGAATGAAGTGTATATTGAATTAAAGAGAGAGAGAAATCAGGGAGTGCTCTGAAATTCCATCTAGTAACACTTCCCTCGGGTTCTCTGCGGTACGTGATTGATTTCTCTGCAGGACAGAGTTCCTACGAGATTCATTAATGAAACAGCCTAATCTGGAAGCACAAATCCAGGCAGTGTAAATCACCTTCTAGCTAATGCGCAATGTGTGCTGGGGAGAAGAGACGATTCTTGAGCTGACCCATTTGAACACTGGCGTATTCAAACTGTAATTTGTAAAATATCGGTGATCCAAGCTTCATTTTGTTAGTGGGATAGGGGCATGAAATAATCTTTGCTTTATGGCCTTTAAAAAATTGTTTCTCAAAATGATGTTCTAATAATCTAAAAAGTAGCCCTTTTACATGCAGTATTGTAATTATTAAAAAAATGGAAGCTCTGTTTCATAAACATAAACTTCAGTAAGGAGATAGATTACATGGTTTCAAAATGAAAAGACAAGATGGAAAAACAGACTTTTCTTCCAGTTTTACAGCTATTTTCCTTTTCCATTTATCCCCACTGGCTTTTCAACCTATTAGATCTTTCTCACAAGAAAATCACGTCTTTTTTCCTTAGTCCAGACGTAGGCAGAGCTGAACAGAAAGCTTAGATACTCCTGTGAGGGCACTTGCTTTCCTCGAGATTACTTAATCAGCTTCTGCTTCTCTCCCCCTCTCCAGTGTGGATTCTTCAAACGCTCTAGGTACGACGACAGTATTCCCCGTTACCAAGCTGTAAAGATCCCGAAAGAAGAGCGAGAGATCAAAGATGAAAAATATAATGATAACCTGGAGAAAAAACAGTGGATCACAAGATGGAGTGACAGTGAAAGCTACTCTTAGGGGGCCCAGAGGAGCCTTCACCCAAACTGCTTCTTTTTTCGCCCAGCTCAGAAATTCAAATGGTTTAAAAGCCTGATACCCAAATATTGATTTCAGACAGGCTACACATAGTACGAACCTACAGTTTTAACTGCTGTGGACATTATTATGTAGCCTAAGGCTTCTCTTTTGCACAGCCAAATGTAAGACTGTTGGAACGGATTTTTCTTTAACTGCCTTAATTTAACTTTCTGGATTGCCTTTGTTTTTCGTGTGGCTGACTCAGCGTGTGCCAGGGAAGGGCCTGCCCAGTCTCGCTCGTCAGACATCCTCCTGATAGTGTAGCTGGAAGACGCCACCCCAGTCACCATGCCAATGGAGTGACTGTCGACACTGCCTCCACAAGCATCTCCCCACAGGATTTGGAGAACCTGCTAGTTAACTGTGTGCCCCATTGCAAGACAGTGCCGTGAGGGTACTGTGTTTCAATTCAAAGTGCGATCTTAAATTAAATGTGCAATAGGAGGTGATGTTGCCATCCTGCCATCTTTTCCCATTTCCTAGGAGTGTGGATACTTGTCCACACCGAATGCACGCGGGCTCCATTCTCCCTTGTCACTAAAACACACAGGTGCAACAGACTTGAATGCTAGTTATACTTGTTTGTATATGGTATTTATTTTTTATTTTTTACAAACCATTTCGTTATTGACTAACAGGCCAAAGATTCTCCAGTTATCATTCAGGTTGGATTAAGCAATCAGAATTAGAACATGGGAGGTCAGTGGTTTGACCTAAAGTATTTACTGCAAAAAGAAAGTAATTCTTTATAAATGTACCAGAGAGTTGTTATAATATACAGATAAGTTTAAGTTATTAAAAAAATTTCTCTTCATGACAACGCTTACCCTTACCCTGTCCCTCCAAACCCCAAAGGTTTGTTTAAGAAATAGGCTTAACTGTTAGGTGTTTAATTCTTAACAGACATTGGATGCTTTTGAGTTTAGAGCCCTGTGTGATCTTTCTGAATTTTATGCTATAACTTTCAGGAACTCTTGGAAATAATGGGTTTGTTTTTTTACCTTCTGTCACTGCTGTATATACAGGACTTGAAAGAAATGGTGAGTGCCTATGGTGGATCCAAACCGATCCAGTGGAAGACTACTGAATACCTGATACCGAAAGTCAGATTAGAACATCGTGGATTTTAAGTTTTAAATATTATTGGAATTGCTTAATGTGGGTCAGTGTTTTTTTTTCCCCCTGTGTTTCCTCCCTATCTACATTCCCAAAATTACTTTAGGACTACTCTAATAAGAACTTTAAATTGTTGTTCATGTGTAAAAGTGGAGGAGCGTAGGAAGACATGATTCTGTATATTCAATAGAAACTGAATAGCTGCAAAAGCCGAATTTTTAAAAAAATTACTGTGTTTCAAAGTGTTCAGTTACATGGGAAGCGGCAGCAAACAGGTGCTAATGTGCTCGGATGTAGTGAAGCAGTGTCTCCTTCTTTTAAAGGAACAAAATACAGCTGTGTACCATTGTTGCTTTGGAGTTTTTTTTCTTTTTGGAAATCTTATACCCTTAAGATACTAAGAACATTATTCTAGTAGTACTTTGGACTTTTCATTCACAGACATTGTTTTACAAATGATATTTTGTTTACAAAAATCTCTCAAATAGGTCATAACAGTGTCTAAAATCTCAGTTTCTTGCTTAGGTAGGTAACTTGGAACCTCATGCACTGGCTTTGTAGGTTGCTAAGAAGCTGATATTTTGGATGTGTTTATAGACCTTTGTTATAAAAACGAATGTCTTTGAAGGGGGGGGGCGAAAGGGTAGTTCAATGACAAAGAAATGGGAATGTAGTGATGTTTAAAAAATGTCATCTCAAGTCAAGTCACTGGTCTGTCTGCATTTGATACATTTTTATACTAACTAGCATTGTAAAATTATTTCATGATTAGAAAATACCTGTGGATATTTGTATAAAAGTGTGAAATAAATTTTTTATGAAAATGTTCATTGCTTAGTAACATGGCATTATATATGTGCAACAAACTCTCAAATTATAAGTAATCTGAATTACTTTTCTTACTGCATCAGCCAAACTAAAGTTTTCGATGTTTTTATGTATTCTTAGTGTCCCATATAATCTCAGATCAGCCAAAGATGTTAGTACTGTCCCCTCTGCCCCTAGAAATGCAATGTAGATGAGATTGAGGGCTCTTTTTTTTCCCTTTGGCTCTCCCGTCAGTTGATAACTCAAAAAGAAATTATCTTAAAGGTGGTTTATTCAAGATATCTACAAATCGAGATACCTGTTTGCACCAATTCATCTGCTCCAGAGGCTGTGTCTGCAAAGGATAGGGTATTATTTAGCAGTGACACCATGGCCTGACAAATAAAGGTTCTTATGGCTAAGTTGCTTTCTTCTTAGAACATGTTTGGGATGTGAGAGCAGTCCAGCTGCGACCTGCGTCATCACATTGTCCACCAAGGACTGACTGAGCAGAGTTGACTGGTCAGGTGTTTTTTGTTTGTTTTTTACCAAAGGATGACTTTTAATGTGATTTTATGAGACTTCTTATATGAAGATATATAAATGTTGCAAAGAAATGTGCAGTTGTACTTTTTAATGAAGGGCCAAAGGCTGTGAATCTTTTAGCCACAGTTCCACGGATATACCCAGATTAAATTTCTATAATAATGTGTAGTCACCATAACCATTAAGGACGTCAGTAACTGTGGTTTGGCTAGGGCTATGGCATAAATGACCTGCGCTGGAGGGCTTGGCAGTGCTTTATGTGACTCCCATAATTCCACTTCTTTTTCTCCCTCTCAAAAAACATACACGAGTGCCTGGCAGTGATAACGGTATTATTAGTACAGGGCTGTCCTTGGATTCATTTGCAAACACTGACGCTTTGTTGGTTGCAGAGCACTTGCTACAGGCTTATCTGAGTCATGCCCAGTCATGGTCCCTGTTGTGCCCTTGTAGGGCAGATGTAGGTGGGGAATGTTTTAAATTGTCCAGACCTGGGAAGTAAGCATAAGACCAAGCATTCTACCCTAAAGGAAAACACCTTAATGAGACACTGATCTCATATACTAGCTCACAGAACGGCAACATGGGAAGATAGACTGGGGTTGATAAGTTGTTTTGTTCTGAAGGAGAGTGAAATGCTGTAGGTGGCTGGGTTCCATAGAAGTACATCTTCTGGGCTGAGAAAGTGCGGAAGAGCTATTTGATCAGCCTGAGTAGCATAAAGTAAATAATTAAAGGCAGTTCCTCGAGACCAAAGGGTAGGGTCCAACCACTTAGATTGAGGGGAAGGCAAGGTTCCAAGAGATGAAGTGAACTTGAGAATGATTTCAAAAGAGTGGCTACTGCAAAGAAGTTAATGAGCATCTGTTACTCTAGGAGTTCTTGATTATGGTAAATGGCAAACAAGTATTTTCTTTCTTGTGCCTTAAAAAACAGGTTTTGCCAATCAGAGAGGCATCTTACCAGCTGGTAGACGTGGGAGTGAGTGCTGTGTACTAGTGGCTGAAGCCAGGCCTGTAGTGGTGTTGCCAGAAGACCCATCTGAGAGGAAAGTGATAAAGGGGATTCATGGTAAAATCCTTTAAAGATTAATGAACTGTAAAACACAAATCCGAGTAAGAAAGCTGGTCCAGCACAGTGCAAGGGTGGACATGCACCCACAGAGGGTAAAGCTAACCAGATAATGGTTGGTTACACAAGGGAGAGAGTCAAGTGCAATTTTTGCAGCAGCAGTCATCAAAGTTTAAATGCCTCTATCTTCCCTTTGCCCTTTCCCTAAAGCCATTTCTCAGCCCGACTAACTGCACCAGGGTCATAGAAACGGGCGCAGACCTGTTAGAGGTCTGATAAAATTTCTCATGTACTGTTCCTTCTAATAGAACAGCCACAGAATTCCAAATTACAGGGACAGAGCTTGCTGCTTTTATTTTCTCAAGGCCCAGCAGATACATATTCATTCGTCAATAACCTGTAGACTTGAGTGTTCTCTTAAGATCCTGACGTTTGGGATGGAGTTAGACATGGTTTAATCATTTTTCCCTGACGGTCTACAAGGATGCTGTTAGGCTCTGGGGGCACACACACAATGACACTGGCTCTGACCTTTTGGAGGAAGCTTATGTTTTATTTTTTAAATTCACGTTTATTATTTATTCTATTACTGTTCCCACATTTTCTCCCTTTCCCTATCACCACCCCGTCTCACCCTCTCCCCTCCCTAAGCCAATCCCCATGCTGTTGTCCGTGTCCATAGGCTGTGCATAAACGTTCCTTGGTTAGTCCCTTTACCGCCTTTCATCCCGCCACCCCCCATTCTGACAGCTGTCAGTCTGTTTCGTGCATCTGATCTTCTGTGACTATTTGGCTCATTAGTTCATTGTGTTCATTAGATTCCATATATAAAAGTGAGGTCATGTGATGGTTGTCTTTCACTGACTGGCTTATTTCACTTAGCATAACATTCTCCAGGTGCATTCATGCTATTGCAAAATGTAAGAGTTTCTTCTTACTGCTGTGTGGTATTCCATTGTGTAAATGTATGACAGCTTTTTTATCCACTCATCTTCTGATGGGCACTTTGGCTCTTTCCATATCTTACCCTATTATAAATAATGCTGCATTGAACATGAGGGTGTTTATATTCTTTTGAATTAGTGTTTCTGGTTTCTTTAGATATATTCCCAGAAGTGGGATTGCTGGGTCATAAGGCAGTTCCATTTTAATTTTTTGAGGTATCTCCATACTGTTTTCCACAGTGGCTACACCAGTCTGCATTCCCACCAACAGAGCACAAGGGTTCCCCTTTCTCCACATCCTCGCCAGCATTTGTTGTTTGTTGATTTATTGATGATAGCCATTCTGACAGGTGTGAGGTGATATCTCATTGAGATTTTAATTTGCATTTCTCTGATAATTATTGATGTTGAGAATGAGGAAGCTTATGATACTAACAAACAGCCGGATTCAGTTTAAATAAGTAGCAGATTCAAAGTCTTGTGCTGTGATGTCACTTGTTGACATATAAGGTCACACCTGATCTTATGTGGGTAGAACTTGTCTTTGGAACTAATACCATTGCCAGAAAAAGTAGAGTAGCCATTCTGAACCTGAACAGCACATTTGAAGAACATTTTCAAAGATCCCAGTGCCCAGACCACATACCAGACTGATGTATCAGAATCTCAGGGTGGGACCCAGGCATCAATGCAGTTTCAGGCTCCCCAAGTACAGCCAAGATTGAGAACTGCGTTAGAGGTCCTCAGATGGCCTGAATATTTATTGAAAGGGCTCTGCCCACCACATGGGAATGTCATCCCATACCTGCTTGTGGTGCTTCTGTGCCAGTAACCAGCAGAGAAGCTGGAGGTACACCTTTGCTCCAGGGGGAGGCTCTGGTCAGGCTGCCTGGATGTGAATCAGCTTCACCTCTTCTGAGAATACAGTCCTGGCGAGTGACTAACACATCGTGACTGTTTCCTTATCTGCAAAATAGGATAGACAGTACCCATCTCATGGTCCTTGTAAGGAGTAAGTGAGAAGATCTGGAAGTGTTTTTAAAGGTTAGCTAGTTTTGTAACACACTTGTTTATTATGTGGAGTCACAGAACATTAAAGTAGGAAAAGAGCATGGAAATCTAGTTCTACTTCCTCATTTCACAGATGGGAAACATAATTTGTCACTGGAAACTTGTCTCCTCGCTCTCAAAGTCTATCATGGTTTACTAGTGGGTGTGAGAGCTACAATCTGCAAGACTAAGTACCCTTAACTAACTTAAAAAATAGGAACCTTAGTCTTAAAGCTTCTCATCAATATAGGGCATCTTGTACAAGATGGACCCTTGTTTCTGTGTTCAACCCAGTGTCAGCCCACCCTTGCAGTGAGCGGCTGCAGGTTCGGGTTGGGGTCTGGGGAACTCGAAGTCAGCGCATAGGCATCCTGTGGTTACTCTGGACTGATTCTGCTCTCCTCTGCCCCTTCTCCTCCTTCATAATGAAATGTAAGTTTAAAAAAGCAGATTTTTTTTTAACTTTCAGTTCTTTACACACAGTCAAGTCCCGGTCTCCTTCAGTGGGAAGGCAGCCTGCAGGCTTGTTGCTCGTTACCTTTGCTGCTCTACAGAAGACGATACGTGCACAGCCCACCTGTGCTGGAGTGGCATCACGTGTATCAGACCAAAGCTTGTCATTGGAAGAACAGAGTTTCTTTCCCATTTCTCCTTCCCAAATGTCTGTTAACAGAAAAAAAAAAGTTAAATTTATAAAAAATCCCTAGGAATTGCTGACAGAGCTGAAGTTCTAGGGCATTTGCCTGAGGAAGCCACCCTGGTTAGGACGCCACAGTCGACGGTGTGGTGGAGAGCAGTCCTCTTCACACTTGAATGTGCCTGAGAATCACCTGGGGACCATGTTAGACGAAGGCTCGGATCCCGGCGGCCTGGGATGTAGAGCCTGAGAGTCCACGTTCCCAGCGAGCCCCAGGGCTGCTGCGCTGCTCGTCCACGGGTCATGTGTTGGGTAGCGAGGACCTGTGGGGTCAGTCTGCACGCACTGGAAGTGCTCTGCCACTTTCAACTTGTGTGACCTCAGGCACGTTTACTGACCCCTAGTGGTTTAACCTCCTCACCTGTGAAATGGTACAGAGAATAACTAGGATTATAACCTGGGCTTCCCGTGAATAAGACACCATCCTCTCACATCTATACAACTTCCAACTCTCTAACAGCCTCAAACATAATGAAGAGCAGTGAGGGCACATTTTAGTCTGTTATATTCAAGTATATAACTTTCACTGTCTTGACAGGATGGATGACATTAGTCTTAGGCTACTGTTGTGGGCCATGTCTTCAACATACCTGCTCTTCCAGAAGCAAAATCCCACTGCAGTGAGTACTGCTAAAACTGAATGGAGAACAACATGCCATTTCTAGTGGCTGACTCAGAAGCAGGGATACGCTGCTCTGGGCACAGTCACTGCTCT